AGAGGAGTGGACTTCTACAGGTAAACCAAGGCCAGATTTTGAGAAAGGCTGGTGAGGAGTTCCTTTGCAAGGAGCTGTCAGAGGCTGGAGCTGGAGCTGGGGCTGTAATACTTCTTGACAACATTCTATGCCCTGCTTCAGATCACCCACAGAAATAACCATGAATCATTGGATGGCCGGGCTCCAAGGGGGGCCAACAGGGAGCCCGCTTGCCTCCCCAACAATGCTCCACGAGGGGGTGGGAAGTTAGTAGGAACAAGAGAAAGCAAGAACTAGAAACACATCATGAGATACAGGATCCCCCCGCCCCCGGCCCCCGCCACCTCGGGAAGCATGAACCCCACCCACCAAGACCTTCATCAGAAGCACTGGAGTTAGAGCTTACGGGACTCAGACAAAGGGCAAAAGTGCAGCTCACAGTAGTGTGGGTGGGGGTTGAGGGCCCCTGTGCCCATGAAGGCTTTTTGCACAACCAGAAACCATTCCAGTGATTTCAAGAGAAAGGTGTTGAATAGTGGGGATGAAGTCCTTGCACAGTCACTGGAAAGGCCAAGGAATGGCCTCTGCGCAGAGCCTCTAGGTGGCTCCCCCTGGGAGTGTGATATCCAGAACATCCTGTTACAACTGTGATGCAAGATCAGGAAGACACTGGATCATAACACCAAAGATTAAAAGCAGATCCTAAAAATAGCCAATAAAAAAGAAAATCACCTTCAAGGAAAGACAATTAAACTGATGGCTAACTTCTTAAGAGTAATAATGGAGGGCATAAAACAATGGATTAATATCTTCAAAGTGCTGAGAGAAAATTACTCAACAGATTTCTGTACCCAGTAAAATTATTTTTCAAAAGAGGATGAAATGAAATAAAGGTAATTTCAGAAGGAAAAAACAGATGTTCTCTATGTTGTACAGGCAACAAAAGAAAAAATAGACATTAGACCTCATGAAAATTAACAACTTTTATGCATCAAAGGTCACTATCAACAGAGAAAACAGGTAACTCATAGAATGGGAGGAAATATTTGCAAATCACAATAGACAGAGTAGAAACAACCCAAGTGTCCATCGACAGGTGAATGGATAAATAAAATGTGGTTTATACATACAATGGATATCATTCTGCCTTAAAGAGGAAGAGAATTCTGACACATGCTATGATAGGGATGAACCTGAGGACATCGTGCTTCAGTGAAATAAGCCAGGCACAAAATGACAAATACTGTATGATTCCATTTATATGAGATCCCTTGAATAGTTAAATTCATAGAGACAGAACGTAGAATGGTGGTTGCCAGGGACTGGGGGAGTGGGAGTGGGGTGGTAGTGTTTAATCGGTGCAGACTTTCAGTTTGAGAAGATGAAACAGTTGTGGAGCTGGAGGGTGGTGATAATTACACAACAATGTGAATGATGTGAATACATGAAGTGCCACCGAACTTAAAATGATTATGAAGGTAAATTTTATGTTATATGTATTTTACTATAATTAAAAAATTTTTTAAATGAAACAGCAAGTTTATCACCAAGTAACCGATTTGAAGGAGTTGTACACAGAACTTCTGTTTTTCAGAGTTCCTTTTTCTCTGTCTTTCCCAGGCACCACCCTGCCTTCCAGCTCCAAAGTTTCTTTCCTGGATTCCATCCCACACCCTTGAACCTAACATCAGATTTCTCATTCTCTTATCAAAAGCTGAGAATTTAAAAGAAAATATCAAGATAATAAAAAAAAACAACCCACGAATGGGAGAAAAAATTTTGCAAATCATATATGTGATAATTGATTTGTATCTACAATATATAGAGAAGTCTTACAGTTTAATAATGAAAAAACATATAACCCAATTTAAAAGTGGGCAAAGGATCTGAATAGATGTTTCTCCAAAGAAGATATAGAGCCAATAAGTAGCCAATAAGCACATGACAAGATCAGCATCATTAGCCATCAGGGAAATGCAAATCAAAACCACAATGAGATACTACTTCACACTCACTAGGATGGTTATAATCTAAAAGACAGATAACTAGTATTGGGAAGGATGTGGAAAAAATGTCTGGTGGGAATGTCAAATGGTGCAGCTGCTATGGAAAACAGTCTGGTTGGTCCTCCAACTACCAAACAAAGAGTTACCATATGACCCAACAACTCTATCCTTAAGTATCTGCTCAAGAGAAATGAAAACATATGTATATATATCCACACAAAAACTTGTAGATGAATGTTCACAGCAGCATTATTCCTAATAGCCAGAGTAGAAACAACTCAAACGTCCTTCAGCTGGTGAATGTACTGTGGGCCAAGCAGTAGCCCCCACCCCCGCTGAAAAACTTTTAAGTCTTCTTTCCTATAGAAATGTTAAGTATAGAAATTTTAAGTCTCCTTCTCTCTAGTTTCTTAGTTCCTTAGCCCCTGGCTTTGATTACTCTTCTAATCAGTTTCTGAATCCTAGACTAAAGATTGCTCCTAGCCTGAACCATAGAAATCTCCTATCCCCCTGCTTCTTGGTTGTTTTGTAAATCAGTTTCTTAATCCTAAACAATAGAAGTCTCCTTCCCCTGCTTCAGATAACTACTTAAAAGCCTGTGACTTCCCAACATCCCCCAAACTATTCTGTACCTAACTCTTGGATAATTCCATCTCAGAGAACATTTCCCCCAGGCCAGTAAGCCTCTTTTCAAACCCATTCTCGGGCCAGCTCCTGGATAATTGAGGCCATATGAGTGACTGGTTGAATGGCCACATGCTTCATAAGAGCTAACGGATTTATTAATTAAAATCCGTTTTTTTCCTCATTCAGGGACCTTCGGAATATAGATGACACCCCAACAAGATCACAGCCTAAGAAGCCAACATGGTCTTCCAGGCCATCTCAAAAGTTTGCCGACCCCTGGAAGAGCCAATCCTGTCTCTCACAACAATTTAAAAATTATTCGAGAGCCATAAATATATTTTTACATAATCACCATTTTGTGAATAATATCCTTTACAAATTTTATAAATGAAACTATGATAGTTTTATTTTCATTTTCAATTTTACTTCAGAGCCTGTGGCTCGTGAGCTGTATTTTGCTGACTCCTGGCAGCTCTTCTGTCTCAAAAGTTTGCTGACCCCTGTCCTGTTCCAGGCGGATCTCGAGACCCCTTCTTCTAATCTGAGATCAGCTAGGGTGAGAGTTCTGTGAATCCCCAGTAGGCAGGGACACCTCTATGCCCCTGCCCAGCAGGAAGCAGATACAGAAGAAAAGACCTCCTGTCCCTCAGCTTCTATAGAGATTTTATGGGAATCACGTCTCTCAAGGAGGGGAAACAAGGCAGGCAGATAAGGGCAGGCATTGGGTCTCTGCGTTTCTGCACATCCCACAGAATGTGACCGCCCAGGAGAACTCCCCTTTCCACCCAAAACTTCCCCCTTTTCATTGAAATTATCTACCCCTGTGGGGAAACAAATGGATACAAAATACCCAACTAGATCTGACCAGTCACTCGTACCTGTGCAATCTAAAAAGATGAGATAATAACCTCTTGTCAATCACAGGTGTAGAGGGACAGCCCATCTAGAGAAAAAGGGATAAGAACTCCAAGTCCTGGGCAGCCAGCCCCCACCCCCCCTTTTTTTAAAAGATTTTATTGGGAAATTGGGGGAGGGAACAGCATTGGGGAATCAGGGAAGAGGAACAGACAAGTTGCTGTCCTTTTATTCTTCATCCTAGTTATGGAGAACATCCTTCGCTGGCCCATGCTGGTATTGTGATCATTGCGCTCTTCACGGCTGAGGCATATCGTTCGCTGGCCATTGTGATACAGGATGATTTGTGTGTGACCGGGATTTGTGGTCTCACAGCACCGAAGAATGGAGACACAGACCAGAGAGGCAAAGTTTGCAGTAAAGGACAGTTTATTAGAGTAAAGAGATACAGCTCTCTAAAAAAGAGGGAGCATCCGAAACTGGAGTGCCCACTGACTAGGGAGGCTTCTGTTTATATGCTTTTCCTAGCCTATCTGGGGAGAAAACTGGCGCCTGCTTGAACAGGTTGGATTTATTTCTTTGGCCATTTCAGCCTGAAGGAGGCTTTTTAGGATAGTTTTATTTGCCTCAGGGTATAATTGATGTCCCTGGTCTGGTAGGAGTAAATTGTCTCAAGGCTGTGGCTTTTGGGGTCAGGGCTGAGGGAAGAGGCCTTGGAGACATGTTTATCTTTTGTTCATCCTACCTGGGAATTTCTAACTGCCTAATTGTTACACTAACTAACCTGTCTTAATTGGACGGCCACTCACAGAGACTCACAGCAGCTCATGCGGGCTGCCGGCCACTCACAGTAGCTTACGGCAGCCCACTGCAGCCCTGCTGCAGCCTATGCTGTCACCGGTGACTCACGGCAGCCCAGCTCCAGGTCGAGCTGTTGTTCACCATCTTAGCTGTAGAGGGCGCAGCATCACTGGCCCATGTGGGATCTGAACCGGCGGCCCTGCTGCTCAGAGCTCGCGCTCCCAAGCCAACTCTTAACCAACGAGCCACTAGACCAGACCAGCCCCCCTTTCTTTAAAGCATTTTGAGCCTCACTTTTGGGAACGGCCCGCTCCAAACTCTTCGGAGTGTACTTTCTCTTCTAATAATGGGGCCTTGAGCCATTCTCTATTTCTCGGGCCCGCTTCTACTTCTTTGAAATATACTATCTCTTCTAATAAAGTGCTCTTTTACTATTTTACCTCGGTATCTTGTTCAATTCTTTGCTCAAGATGCCAAGAACCTGGATACTGCACCAAGAGGAGCCCACTCTCCGGTAACAAATGGATAAATAGTATGTATGTGATCTATCCATACTGTAATAAAATAATATAAATGAAGCCACTTTGGAACTTTAAAATAGGGCAAAATAACCAAAATAACAACAGATAATATGACTATTGGATTGATGACTACTGGACTGAAAATTTTTTTTAATTCTTTAGAATTAACATCACTATGTTATGTTATCTGCACCAATAGAAAAGCCTTCCTTCTATTGATGTAATTTTTCCTCTTCCTTTTCTCATAAATATCCATTGTCTTTGTCTCCTAATTAGAACACTATTTGGGCTTTTGCCTGAATCAATGTTTTCCGAACAGCTATGCTTTTGATCTCAAATAAATGCCTGTTGCCTCTTACTTCAGCCTTTTATATTTAGGTTAACAATACAATGGAATGTTATTCAGCCATAAAAAGGAATGAAATACTTATTCATGCTACAACATGGAAGAACCTTGAAAACGTTTTGCTAAAGGTAAGTAACCCTGCACAAAAGACCACATATTGTATGATTCCATTTATATGAAATGTCCAGAATAGGCAAATCTATGGAGACAGAGAGTAGATTAGTGGTGCCAGGGGTGGGGGGCGGGTACAAGGAAGGAAAGTGGGAGGGGAAGCTAAAGGGTGAAGGGTGATGAAAATGTTTTAAAATTTATTGTAGTAAAGGTTGTACAACTGTGCGATTATACTACAAAGCACTGAATTGTACACTCGCAATGTGTGAATTGTATGGTATGTGAATTACAGCTCAATAAAGCTGTATAGAAAACAAAAAGCAGAGCATTTCTTCTCTTCCCCAGTTCTCAACTCAAACTTGCATGCCCAGATCCATCACACATTCAGAAAACAAAGAACCGTCCTTGTTAGTAGAAATCATGCTCCCCAGAAGCAGTCGATATTAAAGCAGACACCTACACACACACACACACACACACACACACACACACACACACACACTAAAAAAGCATATTCTTTTATCTTAGAAAATTGGTCTAGTCCTGCTTTGTCAAATAAAAACATAATGTGAGCCAGAAATGCAATTTTAAATTTTCTAGTAGCCATATTTTTAAGAGTTAAAAGTAAAATTAAATTTAATAACACACTTAACCCTATTTATCCAATATATTATCATTTCAACATGTAATCAATGTAAATAATTTTAATGAGACATTTTACGCTGGACATGTATTTTACATTCACAGCACATCAAGTTCAGCTTAGTCACGCTTAAAGTTCTCAATAGCCACATATGACAGTGGCTACAGCACTGAAACAGTGCAGGTCTGCCTTCTCGAAGTAGCACATGACAGATTGATTTGAGCAAAACCAGGAAAAAAAGGAACTGGTTGTCTAGTGTAATTAAAGGCCAGAATAGATCTTCTCTTTGGGCACAGCTGGATCCAGGAGTTTCATCTCCCTCTCCCCTCTCCCCACTGACTTCTTCCTCTCTCCCTATCTCCTCTCACCCTCCTACTCTTTATTTCTCTCTCTACCTCTTTCTCTTCTCTTGATCACCTCTTGGCTCCACATTCCTCTGAGCTGGCTACACTCTTAAAGCAGCCTCCTGAAGTAGCGCTGGTAGCTCTTGGTTTACAAACTCACCAAATGTCAAGGAGTGTTCTCTCTTTTCAACATTTTCAGGTGACATGCTGAGCCTGACAGGAGGAAGGCGTGCTCTGATTGGGGTCATATGTCAATCAGGGGGCGTGGCTAGCTGCCCTGAACGGGAAGACAGAGCAGTTCCCCAAGACCAAGGACTTGAAGGTTGGCAGGCTGCCTTCACTCTGCACTGGAGCTCAGCGTAGTCGCTAGGATTGAAAATGAACACAGCTCTGCTCAGGTATTTTTGTTAATATAGCTTCTTAATTGTCTGTAACTTATCTAATCTTGCTCCCAAGCTTCTGCCCTACTGGGAAATAGGAACAAAACCTTAAACTTTACAAACATCTCAATTAGTGCTATTTAAACTATCTCTTGTGTTTTATCACCATCTCTGTTGGAAAAGTGTTGTTTGTGTCTAGGTCACAATTCAACTTCCTAAGAGGGTGCTTTCTCTCTTTTCTTTCTTCTTCCTAAGATGATGCTAGGGTTTAAGGCAGTGTCCTGACACTAGGGAAGGGGAGATCTGTTCCTCTGTCAGCCTCCAGTGGAAGTGTCTCACCCACTCAGGGCCACCCTGTACAGCTATGCCAGTTATGCAATGCACAATTCTATAGGTGGCCATTAGCATACACTACAGTGTGCATGGTTCTCCTTGGAGTTGTGTGGACAACAGCCCTGATCCCATACACCTCTGCTCCTCAGCCTCAGTCCTTACTGAATGCCTTGGCTTTATGACATGTGTTTCTCCTCTGTTGCAAATCTGCATACCACTCTGCTCCCCCACCCTCAACCCAGTAGCTTCCTCTTCCTGACTCCTGAATTTCTGGATCCCAACCCTGCCCACTGTGGAAAAAGTAACTGAGTCTTCTCTGCATCTTGAAACTGCTTCTAGCATGTGAGGCAACTTAAGGGGTTTAGAAATCCCCCTTCACTCCTATCCATTGCCTCACATAAGAAGTGGGCACTTCAGCCAGAAGTGATAGGAGAATTCCTTTGCTCTGGGTAGTATCCATCCTTCAGGATTATACAATTTACAGGGTAAAAACATACCTGCAAGTATCTCAAACATAAGCCTTGTTACTCTTTCACATAAACATTATCATACAATTCTGCCGTCAACCCTGGTAGGAGCTGTTAAAATTGTTCTTCCATTTTACAGATGAAGAAACTGAGGCTGAGGAAGAGACTTGCTCCATCACACAGTACTAAGTATGAAGCCCAGGGTTCCAAGCCAGGAATGCCCTGTCCCCTCTTGCAGACTGCTCACTTAAAGATAAATCTGTGTCTTGAAAACTATTTTTAAGTAATTTGTTCCAGCAAGAGAAAAGAGGCCTTTCTGGCCCCTTTCTTGGACTAAACACTATTTCTGACTGCTCCCCTCTGTCTTTTCAGGCCCTGCAAATATGCAAAGAATGGCAGGAATGTCACACACCTGTGCGTGCTGTTGTCAGAGAGACCAGGCCTACAGAGAGACAGAGCAGTTGCTCAGGCACACATAGGTGGGGTGGGCATGGGGCGAGGGCCCTGGTGGCTTCCCTGTGAGGTGGCGGGAAGCCAGCAGAAAATGGGAGGAAAAGTACTACAAAAAGCGCTAACTGGGGTAACTGAGCCAGGCAGGGCAGGAGCAGGGACAAACATGGGGACAGGACCATCCCTGCAGCAGGCATCTGAAATACGTGGGCGGACACCCTGGGCAGTGCGCGAGTGATTTAGACCTGACATTAGCTGAAGCTGAGGACTCTCCCAGACAGCGTTCAGTCATGAAAGGAGCAGTGTCCCAGAGAGAAGTTCCCACCAGAGGCAAAGCAGAGGGGGCAGAAGCCGTGATCACCCAAGTAAAGGAACAGCAGGCAGAGGTGACATCACCAGCTCAGGACTGGCCTGCCAGGTGATACCAGCACCGGGGGATACCCACCCTGAGGGATAGCAGGGGCCCTCCGCTCCTCTGATCTCAGCCTCTCGCCAGGGCTGCTGGCAAGGGAACCAAGAAGCTCAGCGTGCAGTCTCAGCCAGGAGCACAGAGGAAGGTTTGAAAGCCACATCTGGGTTCTGGGTATCTCTCCACGCCTGACTGGCACTTGGTAACTTTATCAGACAGAAGGACTTTATGTAGGCAACCATTTGTTGCTAAAACATATTATTTTTACTTTTATTGTATTATTTTTGCAGTAGCCTTCTATTTATGACAAGCGATACTGGTCATCCACTTATGATAGTGCCATCAAGTTTCCCTGTTAAATAATTGCTTCAACTTAAAAAGGGGAGAATGTATTTAGAGGAAAATTTGATATAGATGGGAGGACCCACAGCGGCCCAGGGAGTGAAAGAGGTGAGACAAAGGGCCAACAGAAGCAGCAGGACACCTGCGCTTATGACAGGAGAGGGCAGGGTGGAGGCTGGCCTGGCCAGGCGCTCCGGGAAGCACAGGGCCTGCTCCCTGGAAAATGGACCCTGAATCCAGCCAAGTTTCTAGATCCAGTATTCCAGCCACTTGGGGCAAAGGATCGAGTCAATGCCACCCCACGCCCACACTGCATCAGTCTTAAGGACAAAGGACCTACTTCTCTGAGCTGAAAAGGCTTTAAAACAGAAGGGCGTGTAGACAGAAAAGGGGCCACATATTAAACCTGACAAGCTCAGGAGACTGAAAATAACCACATAGAATGGCATGAGCATAACAATTCCTAACAAAGGTGGGCCATGGCAGGAAGTCACATCCTTGGTCTGTAGCTTCCTTGACAAAGATCATCTTTACCTTAAGTGAGCCTGTCTGTCATCTTTTTGCATCTAAGATAACTTGCTTTTACAATATGAGAGTAATCTGTTTTTCCAGACCCCCCAGGGAGCACAACTCACCCCACCAGAGCAGGAAACTACAAAATCCCTGTTACCTTGTTCCCCAAATACTATCTCTATGTGCTGCAAAATGCTATTAACTATCCTGTACCCACCGATGTAAAAGAAGTGTGTGTCTCTCCAGTTTACTTTTTATCCAATCCCAGAGATCCCTCCCACACCACTTTGCTTTCTCTCACCCCCTTAATCTACAACCAATGGATTTCATGTAACCCTCCTCCTTTGATTCTAATGTATAAAATAAGTTGCAAAACGCCATTTTCTGGAGCAGTTTCTCAATCCGTTGAGATTTTGCTTCCCAGCAATTGTCATCAGTTTGGCTCAAATAAACTCTTATAAGCGTTCTCTTAGGCTGGATGTTTTTTCATTGACAGAAGCTTGTAGATGCAGACAGAGATGGAAAACAAAGTGTGACAGGCAGCTCCTTGGTTTTCATCAAACAAACCATCTGCAAAAATACAGTTCGGGGGCAATTGAGAAATTTTGATATACAAATATATTAATTTTTATTAGTGCAATGACATGGTGGTTATTATTATTTTTTTAATGTCTTTATCCATTAAAAAAATAACAAGTCTCATGAAAAAGAGAGGTGCTTTTTCACCTCAAGCTGGGCTTGAGGAAGTTTCACCAGGGAGCCACCAGGTGAGAGATGGAGGCTGGAGCCCATGGATCATAACTTTCAACCTCCTACTTTGTGCCTGGGCCTGGTGGGGGGAGGGCGGGTGGGGCACCCGAGGGATCTTTCTGCAGGAGCTCAGGTGTTCAGCCTGCAGAAGGTAGAACCAAAGCCAGGACCACAGCCAGAGGCGTAGGGCCACCAAATCCTTGCAGCTGAACTGTGGATGAGAACACCAAGGCCAAAGGGAAGAGCTGACTGATCCTGCTCCAGAATATCCTGTGGCCCTTGTCTGCACAATAAAGCTCTGACTTGAAAATTTATTATTATTATTATTAAATGTGGTAAAATGCACATAACATAAAATTGACCATCTTAACCATTTTTTTGTTTGGTTTTTGTTTTTTGGGTTTTTTTAGGGTTTTTATTGGGGAATTGGGGGATGGGAACAGCGCTGGGGAATTGGGGGAAGGGGAACAGACAAGTTGCTGTCCTTTTGTTCTTCATTCTAGTTGTGGAGGACATTGCTTCACTGGCCCAAGTTGGCACCATCACTGCGCTCTTCCCGGGTGAGACAGATCAGTCGTTGGCTTCTGGACGGCTGCTCACTGCGGCTGCTGGCTACTCACACTGGCTGCTGGCTACACATGGTAGCCCATGGCAACCCACGGCAGCCTACGCCGTGGCCGGCGACTCACGACAGCCCAGCTCCAGGTTGAGCTGTTGTTCAGCATCTTAGCTGTAGAGGGCAGTGTCACTAGCCCTCATATGTGGGATCCGAACCCGGGCCCTCTGGCATCCCAAGCCAGCTCTTAACCAACGCGCCACTCGGCCAGCCCCCATCTTAACCATTTTTAAGTGCACAGTTAGTTCCGTGGTATTAAACGCATTCACATTGTGCAACCATCATCCCCATTCATTTCTAGAATGCTTTCATCTTCACCAAATCTCTGTTCCCCTTAAACACTAACTCCCGTTCTCTCTTCCCAGTCCTGGTGACCTCTATTCTGCTTTCTGTCTCTATGACTTTGACTACTCTAGGGACCTCATATACATGAAATCATATGGTATTTATGCTTTTGTGACTGGTTTATTTCACTTAAACATAATGTTCTCAGGGTTCATCCATGTTGTAACGTGTCAGAATTTTCTTCCTTTTTAGGGCTGAATTATATTCCACTGTATGTATAGACTACATTTTGTTTATCCATTCATCCATCAATGGATGGTTGAAGTACTTCTGCCTTTTGCTTGTTGTGAATAATGCTGCTATGAACATGGGTGTGCAATGTTATCTTCGAGACCCTGCTTTCTATTGTTTTGGGTTTATACTCAGAAGTGGAATTGCGGATTATGTGGTAATTCTATGTTAACTTTTCTAGGAATCACCATGCTGTTTCCCACAGTGGCTGCACCCTTTTACACTCCCACCAACAGTGCACAAGTGTCCCAATTTCTCCACATCCTCACCAGCACTTGTAAGCTCAAACTCTTTATGTGGCATTCAGGATCCGGCCTCAACCCAACCCAGATGGATCTGTGGATGAATGATTAGGAAGCTGGAGAGAAAGGAGGAACGGTGAATAGCCAGTGGAAGTGGGTGGATGGCAATTAATAGTGACAGTGAGGTAGACTGGCAGGTGGGTAGGATGGGGGAATAGCAGTGGGTCAGTGGTTGGGTGGATGGGGGAGTGAGTTGGGTGGAGGGTTGGTGGATGAAGGTTGATGAGGTGGAGGAGGAGAGATGATATCACTTGGGCTAGAGTCAGCCACCTCACACCCATTCCCAGCCCTGGAGGTCCCCACTCCAGTCCTCTTGTGAAAAATACTTCCAGGTTAGGGATCAGAACGCACTGAAGTCCAATCTGCGGGTGAGGTCAATTGCCTCTTGTGGCCAGAGACGTGGCACTGCCCTCAGCTGCACTGTCATTCCTTTGGCTACCACTCTGTCACCTGGCAGGGCTCACGGGTGTTGTGGATAGCCTCAGGATAGATCTCTCTCTCTGTGAAAGCTGGGTGGTAAGTAGAACTCAGGCATTATCAGTGCTTAACGTGGGCAGTCAGCAATTAACTATGGCTCCCAGGAAGAGGCTGGATAATCACAGGGATGCCCCAGGCACTTCTGACAATCGATCCATCTGCAGACGCAGGCAGAATGTACAAACCGCATGAGACTTCTTAGTTCAATACAATTTTAAAACCCTGAGGTACAAATGGGCTGACCTCTCCTCTCACTGGGTATGTGAGCTGGGTCTAGCCAATCAGAGCAACTCATCCAATGGGCCAGAATAATTGGTTCAAATACAGTAAGTCCCTGACTTATGAGTATTCAAGTTGCGAACTTTCACAGCTACGAACGGACCTTGCATTACGAACATTCATAGATGCGAACAAATCGTGGAAGTAGCTCATGTGTCTGCTGGACATTGTCACAGTGGTGCTGTGTGCTTACTGTATAGTGCGACAGTGTGCAGTAGTACAGTGCTCAATCAGAGCCCAGGATGTCTGGAAGCAAGAGGAATAGCAGTGGTGATGTGGAGGGGACTGCTAGGAAGCGCAAAGCAATAACCATGGAAACAAAAGTGAAAATAATTGAGAGATTGGACCGAGGCGAAAAGATGCTAGACGTCGCTCATTCTTATAACGTGAATCGTTCAACCACTGGCTTTACATTGTAGATTTGTGTCAAAGGTGTATAAGACTCACTTTGTCAGACTTACGAACGAATCCAACTTACAAACGTTCTCCTGGGATGGAACTCGTTCGTAAGTCGGGGACTTACTGTAGAGACATGTGACATAAAGTTAGCCCATGAAATCCCTATCTAGACATGTGCTGACCAAAGGCACTCTCTTTCCACCATGGTTGCCCATCTGGTAAGCCTAGAGCTACTGGCAGCCATCACTAGCCCGCATGTGGGAAGAGCCTGCGTGAGAATGAAACCCATGCAGAGGACAGAGAAGAAGAAAGGGAGGTTCCTCATGACCATACGGAGCCCCTGGATCCAGCCATGCTTGAAGCTAGCTGCACCCTTGGACTTTTCTATTATTACGAGCCAACCAGTTCTTTTCATTGCTCAAGCCAGTTTAGGTTAAGTTTCTGTCATTTATAATGGAGAGGGGCACGCAGCAAGGAATGTAGGCTCGGGCACTTCTCAGGTAGTTTTCAGCTGGATGCAGCAACGCTGCTGGAAAGCCAATTTCTCAAACTAAACAATAAGACCCCAAGTGAGCTGGTAGACAATCCTGGCTACAGCACTGACAGCTGTGTCCATGGGCGAGTGACGGAGCTCACCTCTCTTTGTCCCCAGGTCCTCCTCTGTACTGACAGTGCTACCAACTTGTATCACCTGGGTTGTGCTGCGGAAGCAGTTCTCCAAATGCCCATGTCTGGCACAACTGAGCTGTGTTTTGTGCTCATGGCCAGGTGCCCAACGCAGACAGGCTGGAGGCTCTGCTCTACACATCATCTCTCTAGGACTAGATACCCAGCCCAAGTGTGACCTAAGCCACTTTCACTGACAGCCCAATGATAGATCAGAACAAGTCACATACCCCCACCCAGCCCATTTTCAGAAAGGCCATACATGCCCACAGAGAGCAACACCATCTGACATGCTGTTGGGTCTCCAGGAAGGCCCCAAAAGGGTGCAGTGGAGCCAAGGTCCCTGGGTCTACAGGACCCTTCCAAGTGGTCTCTGGCCTCCTCTGGTCTCTGGGCCACGGCCCCCCGATGCAAATCAGATATTGCCCTCACTTCCCAAGGAGCTCAGAACATCCTGCTGGCTCCTCTTCAGTCCTGAGGCCCCACTATTCAGACCACGATGGGTCTCGCCTCACACACTGCCCACTTGGCTTCCTCGCCCCCATTACTTAAGCATGCCATGCCGTTTATTCTTGCTTCAGGGGATGCTCTTCCCAGTACCACCACGCCTGCTCCATCTTGTCCCTCAGATCTCCACACCACTGCCCCTCCCCGGACGGCCCTCGCTGTCCACCTGGCTGCCATTGTGGCAAGTGCCATTGTTTTCTTCACACACGTGCCCCCGACGCAGTTAGTTTAGTGTTTATTTAGCGTGGCCTACTATTTTATCCACACTTACGAAGTCCATGTACTGTCGTCTGCAGCTCCATGACCAGGGTTTAACAGTGCTGGGCACAAAGAAGGGGCTCAGCCAAATGTGCTAGATCACAGGCCGGCTTCACTCCTCTTCCACCCGGACACTCCCATCCATATGCCCTGCTTGGAGCAGTTGGCTAACCCTGATATTAATAGCTGATGGTTTTAATACCCTCGATGAGCCGCTGAGCCGGCAATCAGAGGCTCCTGCCTCCTTCCCACACTGTACTGGCTATATAATTATGCTTGATCACTGCACAGTGAGTGCTGATTGCGGCTCAGAGACGATTGCCTGATTTCAGGCTGGTGGGGATGGAGCCCTGGGCAGCCTAACAAGGGGACTCAAGACAGGGCTGATTGTGCTGGAAAGCTAGAGGGGGCTGAGCTGTGAGAACAGTCCATGTTACACCCCAAGTGGGACTGCATTGCAAAATTTGTTTCTGATGCAATTTCATAGTGATTACACTTTCTTTTTAGTAATTGAGCCTGGCGCTGAGCATGACGCCTGCAGCCCCGGCTGTCAGGACAGGCCCGGTTTCAAGCACGAGGTATTATGATTTATGGCCTGCTGTCAGAGCCCTCAGAATGGAGAGAGATCGCGGGAAGCCAGAGCGCTGCCAGCATTCTCTGGGAACCTCCCTTCTGATACGCTGAGGCCTGCTTTCAGTCCGGCTCTGTCCCTTACCACTCTTGCGGCCTTTGGCCACACCTGTGTCCCTCAGCATCCTGTCTGTATGTTGTGGGTAATAACCCCTATCTCACAGGGTCACTGTGAGGTCCAAACCAGTTCATTCACTGGCTGAGCTCTGACAGTGGCTGAACTCAAGTGGACAATCAGCCTCTGTCATTGCAACTGCCTGGGGGTAGCCTGGAGATCAGGTACAGAAAAGATGGATACACCATTTGGCGTCATACCTGTCTGTCACGTCCTGCGTGGCAAGGGCAAATGGGACACGAGAGGGGCGGCGTACAGTCGACACCTGTCCTGTCAAGACACAAGCCTTCTTCAGAACTATCACATCTGACCCCCATGCCCATCCTCTGGGGCAGGAATGACCATCCCTGTTGGGCTGAGGAGGACACTGGCCCAGAGCCAGCAAAGGCTGCACCAACACCTTCTCCGTCAGAAAAACGTTAGAATTTTCATGGGCTGGAACAGCAGTCTGTGCCAAAAAGGCCAATGTTTCCTAAATTGGGTTCTTCTGCTACAAGGCCCCCAACATAAAGTGCTCCTGGCCAAGACAGACTGGGTGTGCAACGCCAGGTCCTTGCTGTTCAAGGCGGGGTGCTTGGATTGTGGCCACGGTCCCTGGAGCTTACTGACTATAGGTACCAGGCCACCCCAGGGATAACTGGACCCCGAGGGGCTCAGGTCCTGGTGTTTTCAACCTCAGCAGATGGTTGCAAGGCTGAGGGTTCAGGACACCTGCAGGTTCCCAGCACACAGGAGCAGTATGATCCTGGCCCAGACATCACACCACTGGGGCTGCTAAAACTGGAGGCCAAGAACTGGCACCTGCGGTCAGTCTGGGCTGCTTCTGCTGAGCGATATCAGCACCCAAGGCCTAACCGCATGCCGTGGGCAGGGGTCCCAGCATGGCCCAGGAGATGCTGCTCTGAGCTTGGCGCGGGCTTGCAGTCTGCTGGCCACGCGGCCCTTCCTCCCACCTTAGACCACACCCCAGCAAAGCAAGCCCAGAGCCGTGAGCTTTAGCAAAAATGTTTAATCTCTCCTTAATGTGTGTGTGTATTTACAAGTACTAAATCTGAAGAACAGTAAAATAGGAAATAGCCGTGTATTTACACAATCTGCTGGCTGAACGCCCCATCAGCCACACCGCTCCTGTGAGAGGCAATGGTGAAGGGTGGCTCAGGCCGGCCGAGCGATTGCTCTTCTTTTGGGTGGGGGCTCTGCGGCATTAAAGGACAGCTAATTGTGGGCTTCATCTTAAAAATATCTCTCTAAATATATCTATTCTAGCTTGTGTAGCACCAACGACATGAGCCATCACATCCAGAACTGGGAGAAAAACCAGGGCAGAGGCTCTCAGCAAGGTCAGACCAGGAAGGGCGGGAAAGATGTTTGGGACCCTTGGTATCAAGGTGCTCCCAGCCCCTCTGCCTTGGTTCCGGGAATGCAGGGCAAGCTCGAGGTATATCAAGAGGCCCGGCTCCCAGACCAAGGCATGAGCCACCTGGGCACTCCTGAGACGCAAGGGGGAAAGGGTGGCAGGGGCGGCCCAAGGCAGGGCAGGCCATAGCAGCAGTGTCCGGGGCAGGATGGGTGTCCCTGCACAGCAACCAGTGCCGTGGCCCAGACTCCCCAGGCCTGGGACTGCAGAGGGGCCTTTGGGACAGTTCTACCCACCTTCATTGCACAGAGCAGGGCTCCAGCCCCGGGCTCCAGCCAGGCCCCCGCAACCCTAGGCCAGTGCCGGAATTTGAGGTCAGAGCTCCTGGCAGGATGATGCCTGGGGGTGACAGTGGGGTGCGTGGGCCCAGTGCCTGGGGAGCCACAGAGGTGGGAGGGCTGTGGGAACTAGTGACAAGAAAAACTTGGAGCCCAACTGCACAGCCTGGCAGGAAGGAAGGTGCGGGACCTGCTGCAATGGGAGACGGCAGGCTTAGACTCAGCTCAGTCAGCTCACATGTAAACAGATATTGCTAAAGTGCTTGCGCCTGACAGGCGTGCGCTGTGGGGTGGGTCACACACCCTGCAGGGCCGGCAGCATCCCTCCTCCTCCCTCACCACATTCAGCCTCTCGAGGTGAGCACAGGGGCCGGCTCTCTGTGGGATGAGAGGCGTTAGGAATGGGGGTTGGAACTGGATTCTGAAAGAGGGCAGTGTAGGAGCAGAGGAGCCCCACACTGACCAGTGTGGAACTGGAAGAACAGGGCTTCAATTAGAAGCCAACATCCATGGAAGACTTTAGGGGAAACTGAGGTCTGCACACACGCGTGGCCAGGAGGCATCAGAGGAGGCAGGGGTGCACCCGCAAATGAGAATCCAGGCCAAAGCAGCGGCAACCAAAACTATGATCTGACCTGCTCTCTAGAATGACCAGCCTCAGCTCTGGCCCCCCACATCGGCCCAGGGATGAACCCATGCAGCTGTGCTGGGGTCAGGGGGTTGCCCGAGCTCCAGCTGGTCATCCACAGCAGCGGGAGGCCCAAGTCCTGCTCAGTTCCAGGAGCTTCCTGAGTCAAAAGTTCTCGGATTTCATGCCGCTCCCCAAGGCAAGGGATCAGACCTTAACCTGATCTCCAAGGTGTGCAGTCTGGCTCACACTGCTTAGGAGGGGGACCCCAAGATAGGCAGCCCGTGGGCGCAGGGCTGGCCACAGTTAGCTGTCCCTTAAAGTCCATGGGAATCTTTAGTACCGTCAAAAACATGAACTTGAAGAGAGGGTCCACTTGTCTGCTTTCACAAGTGACTGATTAAAAAACATAAAAAAGGGTCTAACAACCTCTAGTATCCAACACTTGCAGTTTTAAAAAGATCAAGTCAGACTAAAAGCTAGCACAGTCATGCAGGAATCCACAGCCTCTTGCCCCGGAAGCTCTGGGGGGGGAGGTGCCTAAGTTCTCTCCTTTTTACATCAAAACAGAAACAGGACAAACTGCAGGATGAGGGGCGGAGGCCTGGGGTGCTCTGGTAGGGGAAACTGGCCACTTGCTTCATGACCATTTGGTATTGCTTTCCCACTGCCCTAATTTTCTTCTTTTAAATTGTTTGTAAAATTTCTCCTCCTCCAGTCAACTATACAGGACCCCACTGGGGCTGGAGACTGAGGCTAGAGCCACATATATATATATATATATACACATATACATAACATATACATATATATATATATATCTGTGTGCGCACACGCACAGACACACACATATGTGCATATATATATGTATGTGTATATATATATGTGTGTGTGTATATATATATATATATATATATATATATATATATATATGGTACAGGTTTTAATTAAAAATTTGTTTTCTTTGCTCACTGAGGGCAGGGTGGACAGAGCCAACCACCAGGCCCTCTGGTCACTGTGTCCTGCCCAGCCAGGCCAGCGAGTATGGCCCAAGGGGCCCTGCCACGGTACTGGCTGCCCAAGCGAATACAGCAGGGTTTCTTTTTTCCCCCTAACCCTCCCCCCGCAAAAAACCAAAACACAAACAAAAACAAGAAACGGTCCCCTGATGGCCGACTGCGCTTGAAGAGCCAGTACGCTGCTGAGATGCCAGACTGGAAGCTGCTGGAAGGCAGATGTAGAGAGCAGAGGAAAGCCGAGAGAGGGAGGGAGGGAGAGGATCTTCAGGGCTGCTCCCACGAGCTTCACGCTGGAGAGCTTGCCCCGAGCGGACGCAGGGGAGGAATAAATAACGGGGATGTGCGCTCAGGACCGGAGCCCCAGGCCCCAGTGGCTCCCAGAGGCACAACCCTGAGGACACAAAGGGAGTTGCTGAGTCCTTCTGGAAGTCACTTGGGAGCTGTGAGCACTGCCTTCCTGCAGCCCTTCCATAGGAGGGAGCTGGGGGCCTCTCTCTGGGCAAGGTGAATGTGGCACTCCTGCCTCCGCCGCAGAGAGCACGCGGTGAATCGGAGGATGGTGGTGGCGGTGCAGCAAGGAGCGTAAGGGTGCCAGACATGGCAGGCAGGCAGGCGACAGCCCATACTGACTTGGGCTCAACTTGGCCGGACCTAGCATTCAGCCTTCCCTGGGCTGCCAGCCAGGCCCCGGCCCTGGGTCTCTGCCTGGGAAGCCGGGAAGGCTCACCCCTCCCAGACCCTTGTCCTGGCCCTTTTGGCCGTGAGGAGACCACCAGACTGGCTCCCCCATCCTGGAGAGCTTGGCCTTACCACCTCAGGTTTTCTTTAGCAGTCACCCAAGTCCCTCGAGAAGGCCTCAGCTGCACCTGGGCTCCGCTAGCCCTGGAGCCAGCAGCTCTGGGCACAGAGGGTGCTGCAGGCACTGTCTCATCCACACCAGTTAGAACCAGGACCCCCTGCCAGGCGGAAGGGGGTGGGGAGGGCTGGGAGGACGCTGGCCTGCACTGCCCGAGCACACAGGCAGTCTGCACAGATGGGGTGAGGCTGCCTCCCAGGACCTCCTAGCTTTGGCTGCTGATCGGAGGCCTCCCTTGCAGGCCGTCTCACTCGTCTCCTGCTGGGCAGTGGTGACCGTGTGGCTCAGCTGCTCAGGGCCATCGTGTCCACCACCTGCTCCAGCTTGCTCCGGAGCCGCTGTCGCCGAGCCTGCTCGTCCTTCTCCAGGGCCATCAGGATCTGTGGGGGCGGGGACGGGCATTAGTGGGCCTGGCCAGGGCTGCCGCTCATGTGAGACCAGTACTTGGAAGCTTGGAGGGTCATACACAGTGGGCATACAATGCGGTTGGCAAGGACTCTGAAGCAGATGCCCAATTCCATTCCTTCCCTTCTCAGCTGAGGGACCTGGGTTTTCAGCCTGGACCGCCAGGACCCCGGTGTGAAGCATGAGTTTCCCTGGTCGCTATTCCCAAACTCAACCCCCAAAATACCAGCCCCAAACAGGGCTCTTGTCATAGCCAGCCCTTTGTGTCTCCTTGGTGCAGTTCCCCAACTGTCAGTGCGAGCAGAGCCTGGCCAGGACGTGCTGCCACCCCCTGGAAGCCCCTTCTGCACTGTAACTCAGCCTGCTGTTTCCAGCCCCCCAGGAAGCGGGAGCATGCAGAGCTAGTACTGGCTCCTGCTGGCGAATCACCTCCCTGGCACATGACCATGCTGCCATCTCCTTCCACCCCACTGCCCTGGCTCCTCTGTGCCCCTTACAGTGGAGCCCCTCAGAGAACCTCTAGCAGGCTTTGCTCCCCGGCCTCCAAGCAGTATCACTGGGTTACCCAAGACCAGCTGCTTGTCCTCAGCCAAGGGACATGTGCCCAGCCTTGCCTCCCGACACCCAGTCCCTGCTACACCTGCCTCTCGGTCCCGGGGCTCGGCCCGTCCCCGTCCTGCTCTGTACTCACCTTCAGGGCCATCTCCTCCAGTCTCAGCTGAAGGTCCTTCTGCTCACTGCTGACCCCCACACCCTGACACTGGAGCCCATCTCTACTGAGTTCTGGCTCCACTCCCCTTATAATTAAATAAAAGTCCAAGGTGGATTTCTCAGACTTCCCCACCACCTGCCACTCACTTGGCCTCAAGTCTGGAGTCACACCCCATAGCTGGTTGGACACCAAGTCCTGGCCCCTCCCACCCATGGCCCATCACCACGGTCACAGCCCCTCGGTGATCCCTGCCTCCCCCTCGCCCTGGGCACCCAGCAGTCAGATCACTGCTCCGTCTCTAAACCTGGATGGCCTGTCTCACTTGGTGGAAAGCCCAAGTTCCCCGAGGCCTAAACACCCAGTGGCAGGCCCCTTGCCTCAGCCTTGCCTTACTCCACCTGGCGCGGCTGAGTTAGCCTCATGGCCTCCACGGTCCTGCAGCTGGGCCCACTCTGGGCTCAGGGCCTTGGAAACTGCTGTGCCCATGCCCACACTGCCTCTCCGGCCCTGCGTGCCCTGTCCACTTCAGCCCCTAGTCAGTCCTTCCTCACACATCTAAAGGAGCTCCAGCTCTGTGCAAGCAGATGGCAAGGAGGCCTCCTGAGGTATCACTCCAGGTCAGCAGAAAAGATACTGAAGGAGGAAGGGTCTGGTCCCCACCCGGAGATGTCCTCCCAGGAGCATCAATCACATAACGGTCCCTTAGGGAACAGTCGCTCAGCAACCCACACTCTCCACCCTGGAAAGCCACTACCATATGCTCCCTCACACCACCGCCCCCCCCACCCCCACACACACTAAATGGAAGCATGTCCCCTGACCTGCTGCAGCCCAGCCTGACCCTGCTAGGCCTGGCGGGCAGTCACATAGCACTGTATCCCCGATCCAGTAAGCAATGTGGCCAGTTGGAATGCAGAGTGGAGAGGGCAGGCGCCTGGCCAGCCCAGAGGCCTGGGGAGGAGTAGGTAGAAGGACCCCTGGGAGGAAGCCCTGCTTGGCAAGGCCTGGCACAGGGCTGAGCAGGGCAGTACGGAACAGGAGGCTTCGAGCGGGGCAGCTATGCATGCTCACCTCGTCCTTGTACTTGGTGATGTAGGAGTAGATCTCATGCAAGGCGCTCATGCTGTTGAACTGGCTCAGGTGCAGCCGTGACTGCTCAGCCAGGTATGCACTCATGTCCTGGTCGCTGATGGCGGGCATCTTGGCTATGTCGGCATAGTACCTGCAGGCAGACAAGCAGGCCAGGCATATGAGCTGGGTTCTGGCTCTTGGCCTACTGCCCGCCCCTGTATGCTCGCCTCACCTCTCCACCCAGCTCTTGTAGTTGGGGATATCCTTGGCATAGAGCAGCTTGTTAGAGGGCGAGTCCTTGCCCAGCTTGTGCTCAGACGTGGAGCAGGAGTCCATGAAGGTCTGGGCCACCACCGACAGGCAGGCGTCCGTGATGCTGCTCTTGTGGATGTCAAACACGAACTGTGGGTTCTTGATCACGTTCACCCAGAAGCGCAAGGGCAGGCTATGGCGGGCAGGCCAGGAGCACAGTCAGAGAGGGCCTCGGCGCCCCTTCCTACAGCACGGGGAAGGGGCCAGCCGGCCGCCTCGCAGCCTGCCTGCCTCTGGCCTTCACAGTGGCCATGGATTTCCACGGATATGGGGGAACTGAGGCCCAGAGAGGGGTGGGGACTCTCAGGAAGTCAGGGCTGCGTCCTGCCACACACGCTCCTGGAGGGCAGTCCCTCCACACAGTCACACGTTTAGATGCACACTCACACACGTTCACACCCCTGCCTCTGCCCAGGAAGGGCTCTCGGGGACACATCCCCACTGACAGTTGACCTCTCTGCCCAAAATGCCACCTCTAAGACAGCCGTCAACTGGGCTATCCAACCGTCATGAGCCACATGTAGCTGTTTAAAATGAAAGTAAGTGAAGTTAAAAATTCAGATTCTCAGTTGAAGTAGTCATGTGTTAAATGCTCTCCAGTAGCCACCGCTCTAGACAGCACACATCTAGAACATTCTGTCAATGCACATAATTCTCCTGCATGGTGCTGACCTAAGACGATGCTGCCTCCCATGGTGCCCTATGGAGCCCCCTCAAGGCCCATGAGCAGCCCAGGGAGAGCCAGAGGCGCAGAGGTTCATCCAGGTTTGGGAAGGGGCAGCATTTAGAGGCCAGCATGCTGGGAGGGGTGAAACTGCCAGAGGACCAGGAAGGAAGAGGCCAGAGGCCCAGGAGTTGCTCTGAGGAAGGGCCAAATGCTGCCGGGGCACATGGTGAGGCTCAAGGAGACAAAAGCCTGGCTGGGCAGTGGCTGCTGGGAGGTGGGGTGCTGGCCACCTTGCGGGGGTGAGAGTCCCGAAGTGTTTGCTGTCACTACCACTGTCATCCTCATCAAGGCCAATGGCTGGCACAGGCCTGGCCCACAAAGGCTGTTTCTCACACAGAGACCACACTCACACCTGTACACAGCTGTGCACACTCAGGGACACTGTGCATGCAGCTGTGCATATACCCAGCTGCCACACCAAAAGGGGTCCTCCCAGTTGGAACAGAGGCCATACCCAGACCTGGAGCACAGGCGGCGGATGCCCCCCAGATGGGTGAGTGGAGAAGACCCACATGTAGAGGGGCTGACCACAGCAGGGAGACAGCTAACCCAGGCCGGCCTTTCCCCTTACCTGTCAGAACAGAAACTCCGGAGGACAGGCCTCCTGCAGTAGCTCAGCCGCCACCTTGCCTGACTGTGCCCTAGCGCCCCCCCCCCCCCCCCGGCCCCACTGCAGCATCCCACCCTGCAGGTACCAGTTGCTCTTCCAGGTGTGGCGCACATCTGAGTCATGTATCTGGTGCTGGTCGGCCTGTTCATCCAGGAAGTCAAACATGTACTTGATAGCCAGTGGCAGAGCCGAGCCCCGGTGCGCCGTGCTGAATATGGTCTCAAACAGGTCGTCCACAAACTTCTGCAGTGTGCCCTGTAGGCAGGAGAGGGCACAGAGCTCCAGGGCGCCACTGGCAGGCCTTCCCCTGCTAGGTGACCTGGGCAGCTGGCTGTGCCGCCTCCCTGCTCCTGCCACCCGCCACCCATGCCTACCTTGGTGGCCAGCAGCCGCGTCAGGTAGATCTCCGAGACCATCTTGCTGCCACGGTCCCCCTCGCGCTGGTCTAGGTGGTCGTGGTTCTTCACCAGGTGCCACAGCTTGGTGCCGCTCTCCAGGTCAGGTGTGATCATGGGCGTGCGCGAGCGCAGGCTGTCAGGGCTACTGGCTGTGCGCAGCATGCTCTCTGTGGGCACCGTGCCATCAGCTGGAAGGCCCACTGCATCCAGCACCCCATCCCACCCTGGCCCTGGCTGGGCGGCCTGGGCCAGCAGCTCCCCTGCCTGAGTCTCAGTTTCCACATCTGAAAACTGGGGTCCTCAACCCCACCTCCCTGGGTTGTAGGGGACAGAAGGTTGCATGCTATGTGCGGGTATGCACTGTAGGGGAAAAGGTACAGTTCCCACATTGAGGGAAAGGCCAAGTGTCCAAGTGATGGTCCTTGATGTGGCCATTCCCAGCCTCTGCAAAGCCCTGCTGCAGAGGGGCCCAGGGGAGGCATCCTGTTGAAGCCGGTGCACCCTGCCTGCAGCCCCCACTGGCCCCTCACCGTATCTGCTAAGGGACTTGGTGAAGGTAGACGAGTTGGAGATATTGTAGGCGGAGGTCTGCTTGGGCACCAGCGCCACTGAGGATCCGTCTGTCACCTATGGGCAGAGGGTAAGAGACACATGACTCACCATCAGGAGCCCCGGTGACACCCCCAGCCCTTCCTGGTGCGGTGCCTGAGGGCCAGGGACCTCACCACTCTGAGCCTGTTTCCCTGCTAGTGAACCTCCAGGGCTACTGGGACAACCAGATGGGCACAGTGTGGGGCCCGGGAAGGTCACAGATGTGACCCGTGCCCTTTTCTCCCCAACATTTTCCACTGCCCAAAGCCAGGGACCTGGACATCAGCTTCTGCACTGCCCTGGAGCCCTAAGGAACGAGGCTGAGCTGTGGTCAGAGAGTGGGGGGTCTGGGGTCACCTGATAGTGAGCCAGTGTGTTGAGCCTCTTCCAGTCATTGTCAATCTTGGTGGTGACGTCCTCGTCCTGTAGGATGATGCGTGCCATGCGGCCCTGGCGCCACTCTGAGGGGGAGGGGAGCACTGAGGGGTGGAGTCATAGGCAGAAGGCAGGTGCCTCTGCTGCCCCCTCCTTCACTGGTTTCGCCTCTTGCCTCCAAGGAGCACGGGCATCCTAGGGGCACTTGGTGCAGGGCCTTGAACAGCAGAATAACCAAGGGACAAGGCCCCTCCCTCCCTCTAAGCAGCTCCCATCCTGGCTCACAGCAGGAAGCACAAGCCGCTGCAGTTAAGCTCTGTGCCCTGCTGTTGCAGCTGCCCCACGCTGGGCAGTCCGACCCCCACAGATACCCTGTCTCTTCTGGCCTTCCATAGCTCTGTAGGTACTTCCACCTGCCTGGCTCACGAGCCACAGTACCGCCTCCCAGCTCCAATGGCTCCCCCTCCCCCTAGAGTAAGTGGGAACCCCAATCCCTGCCTCTCCCTTGGACAAGGCAGCACTCTAAGTAGACTCCCTGATGCCGTCCTCCACCCCACCTGCCTCCACCCTGGCCCGCCCACATCCAGAGCCCAGCCAGGATCACATCTCTTCCCTCAAGCTCTCCTCAATAGTCCCCCACCCCATGGCCTCTAGCATCCTCAGGAGGGCCTGCTCGGACTTCTCCAGCTAAGCCTGTTACCTGTAGCTCCCCAGACACGCCCCCTGGCCCTGTCCCTCTCCTCAGGCTGCCCACCTCGGCAGGCCCACTGCCCAGAACCGAACCCCAGCACAGCCACGCTGCCGGCGAGCACTCACCCAGGTCCATGTCCCCAGCCTTGGGCCGCTGGGAGTAGGGCACACCCTTGTACACAGCATCCAGTAGCTTCTCCTTGACCTGGGTCACTGTGTCGCAGTTCAGTCCTTTCACCGGCACCTCAGGGGCATTCTCATTCTCAGGGTTCACACAGTTCAGGGTCTGGGGATGGGAGGGGAGCAGTATCAGCCCCCACCTCTCGGGGCAGGCACACGGGAGAGTGTATGGGGCAGGGCAGGACGCTGGGCCCGCGCTCACCAATGTCTTGTAGTCGATCTGCTGCCGGATAAGCTTGTCCTCACTCAGGGAGTAGCGTGCCTCGCCAGTGATGGCATCAATGGGGCCCTTCTCCATCTGTTGCTTGATGGCACAGTACAGCATGAACAGCGGCTCCCCCGCGCACTCCTGCGGTGGTGGCAGGTGGACAGGCGTTAGGCTACAGCCAGGACCCCCAGGGGCTTCCACCCCTGCCCATCTGCCTCCGCCCTTTCAGTGCCTCTGCACCATTCCCACAAGGAGAAATGAGCACCACTTCCAAATTCTTTTAAGGAGGCAAGTAGAACCCTGGTTCCAGAGCTCACAAAGACTGTGCAAGAGAATACGTTAAACAACAGATCTGCTGCCCCTATGAATATTGATGTGAAAATCCCAATGCGACCTTAGCAAAGAGGGCTGGGAGCATGTTGGAGAAGAACATGATGTGGCCAAGTGGGGTTTATACCAAGGAAGACCAAAACCCTGAAGTCTCCCCAGCTCAGGCCTCAGCAGGTCCACTGCCCCAGTCCCCAGCTGATGGATGCCCCAGCACCCCACTCACCGGAGCAAGACAGGTGCCAGCACTGCACTCTGGATGAGGCCCAGGCTCCTGTCCCACCCCCCCACAGACTGGGGCACGGGAGGACCCTATGCCACAGAACACTAGGCATGACCTTGATCTATTATCAGGGGCCCACCCACCTGGGACCCCAGCCCCTGCAGGCAGAGGGCTGCCCTCCCTGTTACTTGAGAGGTGCAGATGCATCAATCCAGGGCAGCTCAGCTGCACCAAGGTGCACAGCAGTCCAGAGCCAGGGCCCCATAGGGCAGTTCCTGGGCACTCCATGAAGATATGCTTTGCCCCTGCCCTCAATCACCCCACACTGCAGCCACAAAAACAGCCTCCTGCTGCTCCAGCCACCTAGTGTCCCACCTCAGGGCCTTGGCACCTGCTGTCCCCACAGCCGGAAATCTCTCCCTTAGGTCACCGGCCCTTGCGGATTCCACCTACTGTCCCTTCTCAGAAAGGCTCTCCCTGACCACCAGGCCAAAGCTGCTAGCACTCATTGCCACCAGGGCCCTGCTGCAATCCCTGGCTCCTGTCACTCTCTTTGCTGCTGTATCCCCACTGGAGTGGAAGCTGCCTGAGGGCCGGGACATGGCTGGCACACCCACATTACATCCCAATGCCCAGCACAGAGCCTGTGCACACGCGGGGCTCCAGACACTGCTGGACAATAAATGTCATGAGTGAAAAGCGTGGTCGAAGAGGCTTATGTCCTTACAGCAAAGTGAAAAAAACTGACGCCAGAACTCGCTGGTCCTGTCTGCCCCAGGGCTGCCCCCAACTGCAAATGCCAAGCCTCAAGGCTTGCTGTGTTCCCTGCAGAGGCGAGGCCCTACCTGAGCATGGGCACAGGGTCCTTTGCCGCCTTGGCCGCCTGATGGGAGTTCAAGAGTAAGTGTGCTCCAAGCAGGCGGCATGCTGGCCTCTCCCTGCCCCGACCCCAACCAGGCACACAAATAGTAGCTCTACCCCATAACCAGATGCTCCAAGCAATTTGTCACCATCTGCGATAATTAAAAAGACAGCCTAAGACTCTCCAACAACATGCCTGTCTCTGAAATTATGTTTCATTTGCAAACTTGGCTTCATTAAATCAGCTGGAAAGGAAGCAAGAACAGGGTGAGGACTGAGGTACAGGGCAATTAATAGCTGCCTTTCTTCCTACAAACTCCATCTAAAGAAAGCAGTGGAGGACAAGACCAAATACCTGCTTGCACCTTGCAGAGGAAAAAGGAGCATCTCTGAAAGTCAGAGGAGAGATTACTGGCCCAGGGTTACACAGTGAATAAGCAGAAGCCAGGATTCTAACCCAGATCCATCTACCTCTAAAGCACCCAGCCCTTAAATGCCAAGTGTCCTCAGAGAAGGCACAGGCTGAGTGGGATGTCTACTTTTGGCCCAGCTGGCAAGGTCCCTCAGTGCTGGCTCCAACCACTCTTGCAAAGCCTGCCCAGATGGGGCAAAGCAGGAATGAAAGAGCTAAGAGGCCAGGAGATGGGAGGGCCCAGAACCCAATGACCTCAGCTAGTCCTGCCCTCCCTGGGCCTCAGTTTCCTGCTCAGTGAGGGGGGAAAAGGATGCCCTCAAATGTCTCCCAGCCACAGCTCTGAAAGGGATCTCACTTGATTTTTTGCTCCCCGAAGTGGAGAAGCACTTGTCCTAACATCATGTATAGAATGACTTGTATTATTTTTTTACTTGAAAATTCATTGGCAGTGTCTGCACAATCTCATACGGTACACAAAAATCATTTCTTAGCACAACACAGGAGCTATAAAAGAGGAAAAGTTTGTATTAAAAAACAACAACTCTATAATCTGCTAAAAGAAATAACCCTTTTAAAATGCAGGCAAAGGATAAAAAAAGACATTCAAAGAAAAAAATAAAAGTGGCCAATCAAACAAATGAAAAGATGCCCAACTTGTTAAAGAAATGGCAACTAAAGCAATAAGCTGTCAATTCACTGGCAAATTATCAAGGTGGCAAAGATTAAAAAGGCTGATAAAGCAGGTGTTAGCCAAGGTCTGGGTAAGTAAGGCTCTCAAACACTGACTTGGTGAAACTTTTTTTTTCAGGAGAACTTGACAGCATATATTCCAATAAAGAATGCACATGTCTGATCATCTACAGTCACTCTTCTGGAAATCTACTTAAATTTAACATGGCAAGCAAAATTCACTGGATCTGCATGCTGGTTGCAGTGCCAGTCGTGGAGGGAAAACATTCAAGCTCTCATAACATCCATCAGCAGTGCAATAGTTAATCAAATGTGCAACAACCACACTAGGGAACATTATCAGCTGTTAACAAGAATGACACAACTGCCTATGTCCTGACCTGCAAAGATGGTCACAACACTTTTGCCCGAGGCGGAGGAAACACAGTGCAGTGCAAAATGTATGGTACTAAAAAGGAAAAAACCCTATAATGAAGAAAAGGTACAATACTAGGATTTCTTCTTAATATCCAAAGCATCTCTATTTATAGGTATTTGCTTCAGTTCAGAAACCAGCCTGGGAGGGCATACATCAAAATACAGATGGTCGTTGCCTCAGTCCTTTATGCTCACTTCTGTGTTGTTTAGGTGTGCTAAAATGAGCACTTCTAGTTACATTTGTTTGTTTGTTTGTTTCTAAAGACAGCAAGCGATTAAAGGGATTTGGGTTGTTTAAAAACAGTTTGTGGCACTCTAAAAAGAAATGAGCTACCAAACCATGAAAAGACGTGGAGGAACTTGAAATGCTCCTAAGTGAAAGAAGTCAATCTGAAAAGGCTACATACTGTATGATTCCAACTACAGGACCTTCTGGAAAAGGCAGAACTGTGGAAACAGTAAAATATCATAGTGATTGCCAGGGGTTCAGCGGAAGAAGGGATGATTAGGTGGAGCACAAGGAATTTTTAGGGCAGTGAAACTATTCTATGACACTATAATGGTGGGACCATGTCATGATACATTTGTCCAAACCCACAGAATGAATGTACAACACCAAGAATGAACCTCATGTAAACTATGGACCTTGGGGGATAAAGTGATGTCAACGTAGGTTGACCGACGGTAACCAATGCACCACTTTGGTGAGGGATCCAATAACGGGAAGGCTGTAAGAGCATGAGCTACATGGGAATCTCTGTACCTTCTGCTTGATTTGGCTGTGAGCCTACAACCACGCTAGAAAACAAAGTCGATCTAGCCAAAACATGGACCAACCAACGAATAAAACGTCGTGTTATTGCAAAGAGAAATTCTTCTTTTCTTTTTTTGGTATCTATATGAGATGATGCATGTTAACTAAACCTTTTGTGGTAATCATTTCATAACATATGTAAATCAAACCATCATCCTGTATACCTTAAACTTATACAGTGATATATGTCAATTATTTCTTAACAAAACTGGAAAAAAATATAATACAGTGCAGTCGTCCCTCGATATCTATGGGGATTGGTTTCAGCAACCCCCACAGCATGCTCAAATCCATTATATAAAATGGTATAGTATTTGCATATAATAACCTACACACACCCTCCCATTTATTTTAAATCATCTCTAGGTTACTTATAATACCTAATACAATATAATTATATTGAAGTCTGTACCTGTTCAGTACAGACACAACCATCATAGGCCTAACTACATAGTATTGTACTTGTCAGTAACAAGGGAAAACTTTTTTTTCTGAATATTTTTGACCCGCGGTTGGTTGAATCCACGGATGTGGAGCCCACAGATACAGAGGACCAACTGTATACATGAAAGAAAAACAAAGCAGTCTGTGGCACAAAGAAGTCACTGGCCAGATGTGGCTGGGAGCAGCCCAGGCTAGTGTCAGCACCCCTCCCTCATGCAGTGGGTGTGGGCGGGCAGTGCCAGCACAGCCGCCTCCAGTGCCCGGCCCTGGGCAAACTCCTCCTACCCAGCACATTTCCTCATCTGTACGGTGAGCTCAGGGCAAACAAGACTTGGGAGTAGGGGAGTGTTCTGGGCAAATCAAAGCACACCTTGGTCCCGCTCAGCTCCATCGATGGGACCCCAACTGGGATGACGGTGGGCCAGCGGTCAGCTCCGCCCAGGGCTCCCAACACTCTGCCTTCTCCTCCCCATTCCCCTCCTTCCGGCTCCCTCGGTCAGGCCTGGCTTCCCTCTCTCTTCCACTGTCCTCTACCCCACCTGTCCCTCAACGAAGCAGCCCCTGCCGAAGAGCCCAAGCACAGCTCCGGGATGACAGCTCCCACTCAGCCGCTCTGTCTGCGATGTCCGGAATGGGCCCTGCTTGTCCCGCTTCCTGCAGCCTGCCCACCACCCGTCATTACACAGAATACACGCCCACCCCCGCTTCTCAGACTGGGTTTGTCAAGCTGAGTCCCCTTTCTCTGCCTGTGGAGACTCGGGAACAGACAGGGATTGATGCAGCTAAGACACCTTGGACCCAGTGGTTCATGTCTCTAAACCGTGCTTCTCCTGGCTTCCAGAGCACAATTTAATGAACATGTACTACATCACGCAGTCTCACAGGAGTTGACAGGAAATGCCTAACTTTGTGTTACTGGCTCCCAGTTCTGCGTAACGAGAACTCCAGTGTTACTAGACACGCTCCACAGGCCTGCATTCTGGGACTGCCGAACCACTTCCTGTGGCGGCTCCCTCAGCTGAGCCCCACCCCAGCCCACCTCCCCTGTCCCACGCTGGACCTCATGCCCATCTCAGGGCTGGCTTAACTCATGCCCTTCTTTCACTCCATTGTTCAAACCTCACCCACCCCTTCAACATTTGCCCTTTTCTCACATGTCCTGATTCCCATCTACCCCTCTTCCCAGCCAAGCAGGACTCCGCTCTGGGCATCTCTGAGCCATGGCAGCCTGGGCCCTACAGCACTCTAAGTGAAAGGCTGGAGACCCTGTTGGTGTCCCTGATTTAGTAAGGACACGGGGAGCAGAGGTCCATAGCTAAGAAGCAACCACGGGGAGATTCAGACCCACCCTTGGCCACTAGGCTCCACTGTCCATCACCCTTATCCACAGAACATCTATAGAAGTCAGAGGTCTGGGAGCCCCACCACCCCCACCTAGAGAGAACATCTGCCAAGCCTTCAGATTTCAAGGGAAAGCACATATCTGGGTCTGAATGATCTCCCACTTTCTAAGTGTAGGTGACCAGTTCAACTATTACATATGGCCCAAACAGGATCCATTTGGACCCATGTCTAGCCTGGGGTTGCAGTTTGCGCCCTCTGGACCTCTACCTCATTTTGAGGACAGCCACAGGTCTCCAGGGCCCATCTTCTGGGAATGAGGGGCTTTCCCTAGTCTGAGCAGGGAATTATAAGGGCAACCCTTCCCCACAACAACGGCCAACAGGAGCCCCAAGATGCCTCCCCAGGCTGGGTGCTGGACAGACTGAGGCCTCCGTCAGGGTGTCCCCATCCATCCTTAGCTCCAGGCCATGGGCACAGTACAGAGACCTGGACCTGTATCCAAACTCTAGTTCAGCTGAACACTGGCCATGGGGCCTGAGATAGCTCACTTCAGAACTGTGGCGTCCACTCCTGCTCTGAGGCCTGGACAGCCTCATGCAGAGTCAGGAAAGGGGCCAATCGGTGCATGTCATGGGGGAGTCCATGCTGAGGCCCCAGTCACCTGAGCCACTAAGGGCTGAAACCGCACGTGCCCATCCATTCCTGGTTTCGTTTTTCTTGTACCCATCCTTCTGCCCCAACACCCTCCGGGATGTTCTCTCCTCTCAAGCCTACCTACCTTGAGGAATTTGTACAAAAGGAAAGTGAACCAGTTGGTCAGCATCTTCTCTGCCACCGACTCGGTCCTGGAGATAGACATGGGCAGGGGTGACATAACTGCCACTGCCAGCCCCACCTACCATGACCACTCCCACTACCTCCCCCTTCTTGCAGCAAGCACTAAAGGTCAGGCCTTAAAAGGTACCATGGGTGCTGAGCGGCTAGGGGATTGCTGTGGTCTCTGAGCATGATGTAGGCCCAGCACTGATGGCCCTAGATGAGGCATGGCCCAGAGTGAGCTCCCTGCCCAGCACACCTAGTCACCACCATCAATCTCTGACCAGAGGAAGCTGAGTCTTCCTCCAGAACCAAAACAGCAGCACCTCTGGAGCGGAAACCCAGTGGGGCCTCTGGCATCTGCAGGTAGATGTGGGCTCACCGCCGCAGCAGCAGCTTGGGGTGGTTCTTGCTCTCCAGGTTCTTTTCGATGAGGTCAGACAGCAGCTGCTTGAGCACGCCCGTGGCATATTCCATCTCGCCCTGCAGGGCTGTCATGATGAGCGAGGCTACATTCCCACGGTCACGCATGGAGAAGCTGCGCTGGGCCTCCAGTGTGCGGATGAAGGTTAGAAGGAAGTGCTTCTTGGTCAGCAGCTGCCCGAACAGCGTCAGCGACTTCTCCACGTTGGCCTGCACCTGGGGAGGACAGGAGCCTGCTCAGACCCACATCAGGGCACCCAGCATAGTTATGAGAGGTGGGGGCAGAGCTCTTCTGGCTGAGAGGTTGTCCAGACCAGGTGTACATGGGCAGGGCAGGGCCAGAGAACAGGCTTTGAAGATGGGTGACACATCACCCTGACAGGTGTCTGGGCCTCAACTGTCCTCAGCAGAAGGGATATAGCCTGGCAACTGCCCAAGAAGCCCACTGCAGGCAGAGACCCAGAGGTACCAGCTTCAGTGAGGGGTACAGAATTAAGGGCCTGCTCCTGCCACCCTCTCTGTGGCCGGCCTTGGGACTGGCACCTCCTGCAGCCTGGCTCTAGCAGCTCAATACCCCATCTGCTGGGCACCAGGAGTGCACATTCATGGCTTCACTTTGTTCTTACCACAAACACCAACACAAAAACCACCTTTCCCGTTTCACAGAGGAGGATGCTGGAAGTCCAGCAGGGGAAGAGGCTTGCTTAGGGCTACATGGCATGGAGGTGGGAAAATGAGGTAGAATGCAGGCATGGCTGACTCCAGGGTCCCTGCTCTCTTTCTTATCTATACCGAGGCCTGTCAGGGCAGGAGGTTCCCTACAAGGCCATGCCAGAGGCCATAAGTGACACCTGGCTCTTAGCCCAGACAGACAGGTGACAGATCCCAGGCAGAACAGAGTCAGCTAAGAGAGCAGCTAGACCAACACAGCAGATGGCAACATCAGGAGAGAGACCTGACAGGAGGACGTGGAGCCCCCAACATGGCAACAATCCCAGGGAATGCCCTGGGCCAAAACCAGAGTGACAGGAAAGCCCTTTCAAGGTTCAGCTCAAGAGGGAACATCCCACCAATGGGACCACATGGGGAAGCAGGCCCCCCAACAAGCGAGGTGTGCAGACATGGGACACCCTTGGCCAGAGAGCATGACAGAGCCAATTTACAGAATGCCTGGCTATTCCTAGCTGGAACCTCGGCTCTTGGATTGCCATGGGGGACCCCCAGAGGACACGGGAGCCAGCCCGCTTCCCTCTGGCTGGTTTGTGGTAATAAGCCTAGGCACTGCCAATGTCGGCAGAGAAAAGCCAGCAATCTGAGGGCTTCCATGCGGTGTCAGCCATGTGTTCCCGCCCCGCACAGCCACAAAAACCCCAGCTGGGCACCCGCACCTCCCAGCATGCATGGCCTGGGCCCCTGCTCATAAAGCTCAGCACTGAGAACTACCCAGGAGACAGGCCAGGGGAGCTGCCGGGGATACAAGGCGGACTAAAGAGCCCCACAAAACATAAGCGACGAGAAGGAGCCCTGAGGACAGATGTGGGGTGAACCCAGGCCAGCAGCCCACCTCCATCTCCTTGAGCACAGGGTGGTCCTCAATCCCAGGGAAGAGCACCCTCATGGCGTACGTCCTGTAGTCGAGGAAGGGGATGCCAGCACCATCCAAGTCGTTGGTCAACTCATGAATGTCAGTCTGCAGTTCTGCAAAGGCTGTGGCCAGACGAGGTATCAAGGCAGGTGCCACACTGGCCCCCAGACGCCCCAACTCAGGGCCAGGCTCAAACCCTGGCTCTGCTGTTCATTGGTTGGGTGCCTTTAAGGAAACGACTGTACCTACTTGTGCCACCGTTTCCCTAGTCCCAACACAGGGGAAAATCCCTCTGTTTCTCTGGGTTGTCACAGGATTAGTCGAGACAAGAGCAGAGGAGGTGCAGGGACCGGGTCCAGGCTGAAAAGGGCCCCTGTACCTCACACTGGCATTTGGAAGTAGAGTAACTATGGGTGCCAGCTCTTCTGCCACCTGGGGGCGCCTGCTGTCAGCCCTGGCTCCCTTAGACTCAGCAACCTGGGAATAGAAGGGGCATGGCTAGGTGTGGGAGGCCCTGGCAGGCAGAGGTCCAGGGATCCAGGGGCTAGGGGACTTGGATAGAGCCCAAGCCCTCGACACTGACTACACACACACACACAGCTCAGGCTAGCTCTACACTGCCCACTATCCCAGGCAACTCTGCTGCTTTCAGAAACAAAGGCAGGCAGGGGCAGGCCCTGATGGAACATTCCAGAACTATGAGATATCAACTGTGCAGCAGCCCAAGGGATGCACAATCTGATCAGGAGCCAGAGGAGCGCTTGGCGGGCTCAGGGAGATGGCTGGCAGGTTTAATTGAGAGCCGGGCCTTCGTCTCTTGGGCGTAACTGCTGGGAGTCTGGTTATCTCCACCTGGCTGCCCTGGAGTGCCTGCCAGCTGCTGCACCCGCACACGTGCAGGCAGATCAAAGCTTTGTGCACACCCACCTCGGTGGACAGTTGTCTTCACCCTGATGGAGGCCCCAACTTGCAGAACTCCCCTCCTGGCCCCCGCACACCTGCCTGCATCCCATCAGGACTGCCCAGTGGGCAGGCGGGTTTGTCTGGGACTGAGGGGGGCTCCCGGGTCAGGCAGAGTACTGGACAAATGGATACCCTTGTGCCAGTGAAGTTAACAACCTGAAGTCAGGCCTGTTACAGGCAGGAGGCTGTCATGCAGTGGTTCAAATCCCACTCTGCCACTTAGCTCCATTTTTCTCATTCAAAAACAAAAATACTGCTGGTGCCTGCCTTCTAGAGCTCTAAGCTTTCACTAGTCAGTATCTACAAAATGATCGAGGTTGCACCTGGCACCTCACAAACACCCCATAACTGTCAATTATCATTAGTGCTGCTTCATTTACTCCTTGCAAAGCCCCAGACTCCTCAGATGAGACTCCAAGAGATACACAGAGAACCGAGGACCATCAGTGGGTGGAGCTACCCCAGGCTGGCTCGACACTGGGGACCTAGCCCTGAGGAGCCAGCCATCTCGTCCTCAGCCAGGGAAGCAGGCCATTGTGGGCCAAGGCTGTTGTCAGCTGCCTAGAGGCCACAGGAACATGCATGGGAGCTGAAACAATGTAAGTAGCCCCTAAGCAGTCCACAGTCCATAGCTGCAGCCCTGGTGGCCACCTCCCTGCTACCAGCACTCTGACCCACACGCCCAGCCAACAGCGGTGCCCTCAGCTCTGCCAGGGACAAGCCAGGGCCTCAATCACTCTGGCCTCCCCGTGACACCAGGCAGAGATGGGCAACCCGAGGTCACCCTCTGTTCCAGCTGGGGGCCCGACACCCTAGCCCACTGCTCACCCATTTCTGGTGTCTATGGCTCCTGCCTGCCAGAACCCACCCCACTCTCTGGAGCCCCCACCACCTGACTTTGGGGTCCACCCACTCTTCGTCAGGGGTTTCAGGGGCACAGGTTTGGGGGGGGCACGTGACCAGGTGTGACATCAGGGATTGGCCAGAGTTGGGCACAGTGGGGAAGCTGAGCTTGCCATCCTGTCACCACTATAGCCATCTTGTCACCCCAGGGAGAGAGGAGCCCCAAGATGAAGGGATTCCTGAAGATGGAGCTCACAGAGCTTCCATGCTGGAAGCCAGTGCACCTGGCACTTTCCTTACGGAAGCCAGTCTGAGCTGATTTCTGCCACTCACACCCCAGGATCATGACAGACACATGCCCCTTCTTAGGAAGATGAGCTGCAACCCGACTCCTTTAGACAGAGCTCCTTGAGGACAAAGACTAGCCAAGCCCAGGGTACGCATGTGCTGAGGGAGAAAGAAAAGGCCCCACTCCTCAGCACGATGCCCGGCTGCACACATGGAGCCGCCACCACACTAGCACGTGTGTACACACTGCATTACCCAGTGGGCTCCGCACAGGCTGTCCGGATACCAGTGAAGTGGGCACCAGCACTGTGCCCATCCTACAGACGAGGAATTCAGGCACATAATGGTTACATGTCTGTCTAAGGATACACAGCCAAGCTGGGGCACAGATGCAGGCTCTGTGGCTAAAGCGTCTGTGTCATAAGCAACACCCCACAGAAGCTATCCTGGCCCCAGGCCCCAGTCAGGCCCCTGCCTACCTCCCTGGGACCAAGCCCAGTACAACAAGGCCATCGGGAATATTGTAAACTGAGTGGAGTTGGCAGGCGGGACAGGGTCTGACTCAGAGGTAGCAGCAACCCCAGCGAGCCGAGCTCTGCACCCTTGGGACTCCCCACATCCCCCATGCCCACAGTCCCGACAGACCTTCCTTGCACTCGAGGGCCACTCGGGACTCCAGGTTGTCCATCTGGAGCTGCAGCCGCTTAAGGGTGCGGTCGGCATCACGTGACTTGCGCTTGTAGGCAATGAGCACGGCCACAATGACCAGCAGCAGGAGGCCCCCGCCCCCGCCAATGCCCACAATGGCAGGCAGGGTCAGCAGGCTGTCTGAGTATACCTGCAGCATGCCTGGCGAGAACTCGAAGCCACCGGCTCGAACCTGGGGTGGGGGTGGAGGAGGTGCAGACTGCTCAGGTGGCACCATGCCCACTCGGAGCTCCTTGGTCCCACAGCCCTTGAGATTCCCCCCAGGACCTGGCCCTGTCCCAGAGTGTTCAGTGGGGGATGGGAATGCTGGGGACCCAGGGTAGGTACCAGTCCCACCAGGGGGCACAAGGGCTTGGTGAGGGCCGAGTTGGGGCTTGCACTGGGGCTGTGCTCCCTCTGGACCAGAGGCCAGTCTGGATGCCCTGGGTGGGGCCGGGTTAGTAGGTCAAAGGCAGGAGGGACCCAGTAGGCCAGAGCATGGATTGCCTGGCCATGGACGCACCGTGACCTTGTGCTGTCCTGTAAGGTTGGGTGACTCGCAGAGTAGCTGTGTCTCTGACACAGTAAGGGCGCAGGGCGTGGAGCCGATGAGCACTGTGTAGTTAAGCCTCGAGTTGCCGGGTGCTGGTGGCAGGAGGTTCCGGCCCTGTGGGGGTGGGGGTGAACCAGAGCGCCCCACTGGCCCCTGCTTGCACCGCCGCCCCATACCCCTAACCCCACCCGCTGACTAAGGCCCACCTTGAGGATGAGTGGGGAGCTAGGCTTCAGCTCCAGGAGGCCAGTGGGGCTGAGCGGCTCCAGCACGGGGTCGGGGAAGTAGAGGAAGGAGGAGGCATTGAGCACTAGCAGGGCGCGCACATCATCCATGACAAAGCCCAGCTCGTCGGGCCGCTCCCCCAGCTCCGGTGGGGTGCGGGTGGGGTTGTCCACCGAAGGGGCCCGGCACACCATGGTGGTGTCATTGTACACCAGGCAGCTCTGGGAACACAGGTACGGGGACACTGGGTTGGCTGTTCCTTGCATGGAGCCAGGCCCCCTGAGGGGCTACAGCCATGCATGCATGCAGGGCAGCCAGCGCCGGGTTCCTTCCCTGGGGCCCCCAACCACAGCCGCGGCCATGGGAGCTCAAGCTGCATTGGGGGGTGGGGGTGGGGGGCTACGGGGGATGGCGCGGGCAAGCGAGGACTCACGTTCTCCCTCTCGACACCTCCATACTTGGCCCGGATGCGGGGTTCTCGGACGGTGCCCAGATTGGTGCCCGTGACTGTTAGAAGGGTCCCTCCACTAGAAGGGAGAGGGTGTGGGTCATGGGGTGAAGCTCTGCCCTGGCCCAGCACGAACAGGTGGGGCCAGAAATGCCACCTGGATTCCCGGAAGATGTAGGCAGGTTGCAATCTCTCAGCACTGGAACTCCGATTGCAGCAACCACATCTCGAAGCAGACAGTGGTCCATCATCCTGAGAGCTGCAGCTTGGACGTCTTATCTTTGTTCATTTTTTAAAAGAGTGTAGCACCACAGAGTTTAGAGGGATTTTTGTTGCTGCATCCACAGCACAGCAGTGACCACAGTCTTAAACTTTGCTGTTTCTATTCCCACCCCTAGAAACAGACCAGGGCAGCATAGGGAGAGTACGGCCACATCCTGCCCAGCCCTAAGCCAGGCACCACCACTGTAAGGAAACTCCATCAGAAATTCCACTAGTTCCTCCAAACAAACAAACAAAAAATCTGGTGGTGGGACTGCACAAGGAAGGAGAGGAGAGCCCAGTGCGTAAGCTCTATCTTGGGGGGGCCTCGCATGGGACAGGGGAGCACCAGGGCTCAGGGCACATCGGGGCAGCCCCACCTGTTGATGCTCCACTCAGGATCGATCTTCAGGATGGTGGGGTCCTCGGTGTAGTTGTACTTCACCTCAGGGTTGGTGAGCTGGGCACGGTTGATGTTGATGATAATGGGGGCACTGCCAGGGCTCTGCCCGGGGGGTGTCAGACATCGGATCTCCCTGGAATTCCGCCTGGAGGGGCCCAGTGTGACAGTCAGGAACAGGTGAGGAAGCTCACCTCCCAGGTGGGCTAAGTGTCCAGGCTCCATCACAGACCGGCGTGTGTGGGCAAGTTACTCCCCAGACCTCACCAGCCCATCTATAAACCAAAACCTGTCTCCAGGTGACCAATGAAGGCTATGACCACTCTCCCATCAGCTCCTCTGAGGGGCCAGGCGCGTGTCTGCCCACCTTGGGCCCCAGCCTGACCCTCTCCTTCACACTGTCCTGCTTGGTATTCGGGGGCTTATCTGACTGACCCACCAGTTGCGGGGTGGATGCTGCCTGCCCCACTCACTCTCCAGGTACCCAGTCAGCAAGCCTACCCATGCCCAGGCTTGCTCGAGCCTGGCCCGGGCAGGCATCATGAGTTCTGTTGGGTGGTAAGGGGGCTTACAGGGGTCTCAGCACAGCCTTGCAGCAGCCCGGTCAGTTGCCCAGGGATGGCCGGCAGGACAGAGCATGCGGGACTCTGACCTTCCCACCTGCTGCAGTGCTGCCTCCACACAGCCTGTGCTTCTGGTGCCAGGAGGGGAGGTGCGCCACGATCAGTGCCAACTCTGGCTGTACTTAGGAACGCACACACCTTCCCTCTATACTGTCCCCTGATGTGAAACTCAGGCTAAGTCCAAATCTGGGCTGTAAGCAAAATGAGCCAGCAGGGTGGAGGGACTGGGTGACCCCCATTGGGCAGCCAGCCAGTCACTGCCTACACCTGGGTTCCTATCCCCTAGCTCCTTCAGCACAGCTGGGAGGTCCCGCAGCCACCAGGCCAGCGAGCACAGCAAGGCTGCAAACACCAATAATTTGTCTGATAACGGGTAATTACTGCAGGAAAATATTTAAAGGGCTGCTCCATTATCATCCCTAATCTAGAATTATCCACTTCAAGCCTTGGGGCTTTTAAGATTTCTTTTTTCGCTCTTAAAAAAAATTTTTTTTAAACACTTATTATGTTCCCAAGGAATCCCCCCACCCCAGGACAGGGAAGTTGTGCCTGATCCTTGGGCCCAGGCCCTGCCCACCTGCCAGCTCTGCCCGCCTGCCTTTCCCACTCCTGTCTCAATGGTAACCTTCTCAGCCTCTGGTTTCCATAGTGATCACCCTGGCCAGGTTCTCCACACTCCCCTTGTTTCCCAGGCAACAGGAAGGGACATGCAGCTATCTGAACCAACCACCACCAGGGAAAGGCGGGCTTCCCTGGCCCCCCACTCCCCGTCCACACCCCTTACCAGGAGAAGGAGCAAGGCCGGCCACCGATAGACACAGCCACGTCACTGCCTGCATTCAGGTGGCTGCCCTCGATGCCAATCCAGGTGCCCCCTGAAAGAGGCCCCCGGGCAGGGCTCACGCGGTAAAAGGTTGGAGTCTATGGGAAGAAGGAACTTGCTGGAGTCCCAGGAAAGCCCCACCCCTTGGGCCAGAGGCCTGTGTGCATCTCCAGCCATGCCCAGGCCCTGTGCTCATTGGCTCTCAGACACAGCCCACAGGCAGGGTGCACAGGGGAACCTGGCATGAAGCCCCAGAGACGAGGAGGGGAGGGAGACCAGGAGCAGAGGTGTTGCTAAACAAAGAGGTGCACGGGAAAACAAGGGGCCCCTCACCTGAGGTGGCCTTTGGGCCAGGCCAGCCCCTGCAGACAAAGGCCTCGCAGCTCCCCAGGCCACTCAGGAGGAGAGAGTCCTGGGCTGAGAGGGGTGGGGCTTACCACAAAGGTGAAGCGCTTGGGCGACAGGGCCCGGAACTGGGGGGAGCAGTCCCGCACGCACACCTCCACCAGGGCATCGTGGGCCCGCACAGTGCTGGCATCACCAATCTCGCACACGATCCTGCGGGGAACCAGGGGCCTCAGCGGGCTATGGGGTCCAGTGGGTCTCACGCCTCCCCTGCCCACCTGGGAGGCACTCACTGCTCGGCGCTGATATACTCGCTCTCCACGGGGCTGCACAGCACCTTGCCCACACGCACGCCCAGCTGCACGTCCTCAAAGCGCAGGCCCAGGTTCTCGCCCATAATGGTGAGCCGTGTGCCTCCCTGCCGAGGGCCCGTCTCAGGGGACAGCTGTGGGGAGGCAGGGGCTTGGGCTGCTGAAGGCCATCCCGGGCCAGAAGGGGCTGCCCAGGGGAGGCAGCTGGGCGGTCAGAGCCATCCCCAACCCTGGTGGCCCAGGAGGTCCATCTACCTTGAGAATCTTGGGGTCTGTGCAGCGGCTGCCACCATGGCGAGCATGCATCCAGGCGGCAGGCAAGTCAGCAGGGCAGTGAGGACGCAGGGAGCAGCGGCGCTCGGCCACACACCAGCCACACTCGAAGCGAGGGTCAGCTTTGAGGCAGAGGCCACAGCTCTCTCGCAGGGCCGGGCACTTGTAGAGGTGGGCTGTGGGGGAACGGAGGGGACACAGTCAGCTCGGCTTGCCCATGGCCCTGCCCCTTGGGGGTTGCCCCACCCGACTCACCCTGGATGTTCTGAGGGTTATCAATGACAAAGTTGTTGTTCCACACCACTGACAGGTTCACAGGCAGGTCGCTGATATCATTGCCCTCATAGAAGTACTACGGGCAGCAGAGAGGGTGGTCAGGCCATAGCCCCATGGGGCAGGTCAGGGCTTGCATGCCCCTCCTGGCCCCCTCTGGGACTTGGTGGGGCAGGGTCTGGGGGCTTTGCCTCTCCAGACTGGCATTTCCAATCTGAAGCTGGATACCACCCAGAACTGCCTGCCCACCAACCAACCTAGGGGACTAAGTCTCTCCCGCCATGCCCAGCTCTCCCTGCGTCCCTGCCCCCCAGGTCTTCCTTCCCGGTGGCCACAGCCCCCACTCTCCAGCCAAGCCTGTACCCAGCAGCTACATGAGGTGTACCCTCCAGGGTGACCTCCCCACTTTCCCTTGTAGTCAGCCCTACCAGGAAACCAGGACTTCCCAGCTAAACCCCTTGAACGGGTCATCAGGGATGCTTTATGAACTTCCGTTTCTTTGTCTGCCAAATGAGCTCAGTGATCCCGTGCCCTCAGCATAGTCTGGCCAAAAGCACTGTCAGGTGAGGCTGAGCCACCCCAGGAAACTCACTGCTCTCTCTCCTGACTGCATTCTTCTTGAACAGGTAGGGAAACCAAGGCGTGCCAGTGGTCAGAGAGAGCCAGAGAGGGCCTCCAGACCATCAGCTCAGCACCGCTCCCTCCACCCACCAGCGGAGGTTTTGGCTTTGCAAAGATTACCACCACTAAATCCACTAAACTTGATAAAAAGCTTTGAAAATGTCATCCTATTAGATCTGAGGCTCCAAACATGAAGCTTCTTGGCACTCGGGCAATACCCACCCACCTGCTAGTAGCGTGCAAATGCACATGCAGCTGTGAAGTTTCTGCCTGGTCACATGGGATATACGAGGAGCTGGATGCTTGGACGCTGTTGCCCTGACCTTGGCCCTCTTGGAAGTACTGGGTGATGATGGCGTGTGGGCATTTCCACGCATCCTCAATCTGGCCTCCTAACCCATGCATGTCCCAAAGACTGCACACAAAGCCACGTGTAGCCTGACACATCTAAATTGCCCTCTCCCGTGTCCGAGGTGTCCTCTCTCCAAAGGTTTGGGTGGCTCTTGGCAGGGTCCCACCTGCACACCCAGGCACATCCGAGGGGCATGGCACTCATCTGGGGAGTCTGAAGTGTGTCTGAACACCTGACTGTGCTCATGAACAGAAACCAGTTTCTAAGGCTGTGAGGGTGACCAGCCTAGTCCAGCTGAAGGGGTCCCCAGAAGCCCCCTGCTGGCTTCTGCCTGCCTTACCGAGGAGTTCTGGCACTGTAGGCTGGAGCTATTGAAGCGCAGGGCAGTGACACGGGTTGGGCTTCCCGGGATGTGGAAGAGGCACTCGTACCCACGCTGGCCCGACTGTGGCTGCGGCAGGTTCCGGGCAGCCAGGGTGATGGGCTTTACCACGCCCACTGGCACATAGATCTGGGTGGAGGGTAGGATCTGCGGGCAGTCCTGGGGGTGACAAGGCTTTGGCTGAGCCCAGAGTTGGAGGCCAGTGAGCAGGGTATACCCCACTGGAGCCCAGACTGCAGCCTGTGTGCACAGCCTGTGCTTCTCTGGGGCAAGCACCACCGTTCCCACTTTATACACTGGTAGGCTAAGGACGTCAGAAACAGCCAGCTGAGCCAGAGGCAGGGAGCCTGAGTTCTGTACTCCACCAAGCTGTGTGGCTGCATTCTGCGCCCTGGTGCAGACCCTCTCCCCGTTTGGCTCAGTGTGTCCTGCCTAGCGTTCTAGGACCCCACCGTTTAGCCACCGAAGGGCCCCATCTGGCCCACAGCTGCAAAGGCCCTTGAGACAGAATTAGCCAAGAATGATGCGTTGGGGGCTGCAAGCTCAGCTGGGGGCCCGGAGAGCATGTAAAAATAGCCAGAGCCAGGCAGAAAACCAGTAGAGGCCCCCAGGGCCAGCATTTTGACAACAATAACTGATGCAACAGCCCAGCTCCTTTGCAGCATACTGGCAGCAGCCGCGTGAGGAAACGGCCCCACGGGCACGCCACCGAGCTGGGCTTTAAATAGAGATGCTGAAAACAGGCCGTAATCCCTGAGGCCTGCAACAGTTCCCAACACAGTGTGGGCCAGGGCCCAGCATCAGCTCTGCAGAGGTTTTGGGGCCTGAGGAGGGGGCCTGGAGTTGGACCTGGCCCCTTGGGAGGCACTGGGGAAGCAGAGCCCGCCAGGCAGGCTAACCACTTACCTTGGGTCTGCAGGGTGCCCTCGTCTCCACCAAGGAGAGGCAGGTGCTGGTGATACATATGGAGGGCCACCGGCTCTGCACTCAGGGGCCCTCCCCTATGCCAGCACGCCCAGCCCAGCCCTCAAGCCCAGGGACCCTCCTGCTGCCTCCCCAGACCTTGGCTGCTCCTCCTGGGGCCCCCAAGCTTCCCCGGCTTGTCCCCGCCACCAGGATGGCCTCACTGTCTCCCCACCACACATCTTCCATCTGCACACACTATCTCAGCTGCCCGGGAGGCCAGAACCACTGTTAGTCTTGGGTGTAGGATCTGTGGCCCCCCAGCTAGTCTCCGTGGCTGGGCTCCAGCACCTGCGGACCCCAGCCATGAAAAGGGGTCAGCTCAGGGCTCTGACTTTCCTTTCAGGTCCTGTGAACGGCCTGAGATCAAGCCGAGATGGGAGAAAGATGAACAGTGTGGACGAGTACACCAGGCTCTTCCTTGACAGGATCTGCCTCCCAGCATTCAAGGGGCTCTGGGTCTGTAAACTGGCTCAAGTCTGGGAAGTGAGTGAGGGGCTACAACTCTCTTTATATGATTCAAGATAGACTTTTATTCACTAGACCTACAACTCTCTGCTTACACAGATCAAGTAAGGGTTTAGAAAAGTGCCCCTCTATTCCACTTGTAGGGACACCATGAACAGGGTGCGTCCCTCCTGTTAAGGAGGCTACCAGGAGGGAAGGCACATGACCCTGCTATGGAAATGCCAGCCACCCCTCTCATTCCTAGAGAGGCCAGGTCCAGAGAGCCTAGCAGGAAGTCCTGGCTGCTGGGCTTGGGCTATTTTAGAGTGAGTGCTGGGTCTGCTTCAGGGCGCTCCACATGGGACGTCTGCCAGGGCATCCACCCAGCGACCAGCTGCCCCCTCAGTGTCCTTCCCTAACATGTTCTGGTGGCTTTCACCTCAAGCAACCCAAGCAACTGTGAGAGAGCAGGGATGGAGCAAGGAATGGGGTTCTTGGGAACTCCTTCCCATGGGGTAGGGAATTAAGACACTGCGGAGTGAGCATGCTTCTGAGTGAGGGGTGGCTCCAGGTAAGAACCCAGAACCAGAGATGGGAAGGGGGCGCCTAGGCTGGGAGCCCAAGTCTTTCCAAACAACGTTATCAGTTAAGTCTGGATATGTGACACTCCTTAGAAACATCCCCATTAAACCTGAGACTATAGCTTAAGAGGAAGTATCTGTGGAATGAACCCATCCCCTACTATCCCTGCGTGGACCCCAGGATCACACCCAGCCCAGCCCTGCATGGGCAAACTCCTTGGGCGGGGTCCATACTTGCTGCCCCACTTCCCCTGGCCGTCATGGCCCACATCAGCACTTGTGAGGTCCCCAAAGCCCCAGGGTCACTAACCCACTGGGATCAGTCCCACCAGCTTCCTACTGCCAGAGAGCCTCTGTCCACCCCCAGGGCACCTTTCCCCAGCTCCTCACACAGGCCACACTAGCAAGGAAGCCCACTGCCCACCCGCTATGCCCCGGCTCTTACACCACTCGCTCTCACAGACACTGTTATCCCCAGACGTCCAGGGTCCCTGCGGACTCTCAGCCTGTGCCACACTGCTGTTTTCTCCCATGATGTACAACAAAAGTCCAGAGGGTGACTGGGGGGGAAGGGGGGCAGGGGGGTGGCCAGAGGAGGCTGTGAGGAGGGAGCCCTGTGCATGCTGTACTTCCTCTGCCCCAGGCCTGTCCATGGAAATCCAGACCAGCTACAGCCCCCAAGTACCCCACAGCCGGGAAACCCACACCCTCCAGCCCTTCCTGTCCCACCAACAGGCATGGTGTCACTGTAAAGGAAAGGGCCCTGGCTTCAAGTCCCAGCTCTGTACCTGCAAGATGGACATGGGGACCCCTGCCTGTTACCACCCTACCTAGCAGGTCCTGGATCGGCCCAGCCTGGTTCTGAGAATCTGGGTTCCAGGAGTAACAACACTACTGCTCCTACATAAAATCAGTGCCTTGCCCAGGCTCCAAATAATCACTATCTAATTACTGCCAGGTACCGCGCAGGACCTCGGATGGCTCCAGGAACTGACAGTTTCCCTGCAGGTTATAGGCTGACACGTTCCCTTGTCCACATGGACTCAGGGCACCAGGCCTGACCATCCAGACATCTCACGCTCCAGGCTCCCACGGCCCTTTGTGGATAGTGCCCTCCCCACATCGTCTCCCAAGGGGGCCCACTGGCCTGCAGCCCCCAAGCAGAGGCTCAGAGACCGGGGTTTGTCTGAGGCTTCTCTGCCTCCCCCCAGGATCACAAAAGAGAGCCAATGACCACCAACAAATGCCACTGGCTGACCTCAGGCCAAGACAGCCCTGAAGGATATCCCCAACCCACAGACCTTGTGTTTGGCATCCCAGCCACCCACAGGAGCTCTCCCAGGCCCACCTGGGGGCATACCCAGTTCCACTGCACCTCCGAAAGCCTGAGTCCCCCAGGACAGCCTTACCTCGGACACGTTGACACGGCCCTCTAGGAAGGCGCAGTCAGCAGCGTTGTCTGTGCACACATGGCGGTATTTGCACCAGTGACAGGGGAAGGAGCCATTGACACATGACAGGCAGCTGCAGGGAGAGAAGCGGGCACTGAGGTTAGGCAGCCTGCGCCCCTCCCAGCTGCCACACAGGGCCGCGCCACACCACACTCCTGCAGCGGCTATTCCCGGGGCCAGCCCACAGCCTTTGCACTGGCTGATCCTCCACCTGCTCAGAGAGGCCTTCTGTGTCAGCTGGTCTCGCCTGCTGAACTGCCCCGTGCTCTCCTCCTATTCATTGCTCTTTCCCCAGACCCTCGATCGCGTGGCAGCCCACTCCAGAGACAGCAGGCAGAACTTGACTGATGATAGACATGTCTAAATCCACTATGGTGACCACTGGCTACACCACGACACACATGACAATTAACACTAGAAATGTGTTAGTGACGCTAAGGAATTACATTTTAAATTCCACCTTGTCTTAACTTAGATTTAAACTTCAGTGGCTAGCAACTTCCACTGAGCTGGACTTAGCCATAGGAGATATCCACCACCCCCACCAAAACGCAGGCTCCACCTAGGAGAGCTTGTCCCATTTATTCGGAAATGTCCCCAAGGCCTGGACAGAGTTCTTGTGGTGCTCTGGCCCCCGCAGCCTCGTGCAGCTGGCACCCAGGCAAATGCCGCTGGCTAGTCTCGAGAACCTCCCAACCCACCGGCTACCCGGCTTCTCTTCAGACCCAATCCCCTCCAGCTCCGGAGTGCAGACCCCTGCCCCAAAGATCCACCTAAGACAGAGAGGTTGTACCCTAGTAATAAAAACACCCAGGCCTCATTAACAAAGGAAGGTACGGCTGGGGCTGAACCCACCGCCCCCACACCCCATGCTGGCCCTTCCAATGCTGGGCACCCCCAGGTCAGGGATGGGGCTGAGGGCACCCCTGTGCCCAGTGCCCCCAGCCTATGGCAGGATGCACAGTAGGTCCTCAGCCTCTCCCGTTCTTCCTGCTGCTCACAGGCAAGACAAAGTAGCAGACTAGCATCTGGGCCAACACCAGGGAGAGTTCCCACCTGACCTCCATGCCCTGGCCTCTCCACACCCCTAATCCCCAGCCCCACCTCGGTGGCATAAGACAGAGAGGACCAAGACTCCTAGCTGTCCCAGAACAGCAGGTACTGAGTGTCCTGTCCCATGGCACACCATTTCCCATCTAGACGATTCAGCAGCTTCCCCCCAACTCCCTGCCTCACTCTGGTGCCCACAGGCCATTCCACACTAGAGGTGAATGGTGAGACTCCCCACCAGCCCACCCGCTCTGACTGCAGCCCCGGCTTCAGGCTCATCTGGCCCCTCTGTGGTCCTGACCTTCATTCAGGCCACGGAGCACTGCCCCATCAGAAGTCAGTGCTAAAGACACTCACGACTGGTGAACGCTGCAGTTGTAGAAGACGAAGTCCACGGATGCAAACTTCTTGCCTGTTTCCTTAGACTTCAGGTACAGCTTTACCACTCGCTGGTCTCCTGCAGGGCAGTGCAGGCCCAAGTCACCAGGGCCACTCGACGCAGCGTAATCCAGGATCCCCACGTAGGGCAATCCCCGAACAGGGAAAGACCTTACCAAGGACCCTCCCAACCACCAAGTGCACAGCCCCTGGTCGCACCCCCACCCCTCTGACTCGCGGACCCCTGAGTACAAAGGGTGGGCCCCCTGCGTCTTTGCAACTGTGGTCCCTAACTCCTTTCTACACTGCCCCCATGGAGGCATCTTCTCCTAACCCTGCCATCCTCCTCAGTCACCATGTGACACCCATTCATTCTCTGTCCCCAACGACAGCACACCTCCCCAGCAGAAGGCCCCTGTGCGTGCTGCCCAGGCCCAATCATACTGCACTCACCCTGGCCCTGCGTGATGGGCGCCACCTCCCCAGCAGAGGGCGAGTGGCAGTGGATGCGACCGTCTTCCAGGATGCTCTCGGACTCAGTGAAGTCCTCAAAGGAGCAGTTGACACCGACCGAGAGGTCAGGCACGTTCCAGGCCTGCAGTACAAGCTGTGGCAACCGAGGCAAGAGGTGTGGGTGAGCAGGGTCCCATCACCCTGCCCCGTCCCCCCACCCATCCTGGGTGGCCACACTCACCGGGACCTGGGACATGGTGACAGAGACATTGCGAGGCTGCACAGTCAGCTGCACACACTGCAGCAGGTCTGAGGCGAAGCGCTGAGGCTCCTCTGCCCGCTCACAGGCATCCTGACGCGAGCAGCTACGGGCAGCAGGGGCTGGGCTTGGCACAGGCATGGAGGCCCGAGTGACCCAGCCCCTAGCCCCTGCTTAGCAGGGCCAAGCCCTGCACTCGGGGAAGCCCATCAGCTTCACTATACCCCATTTTTACTGGGGTGGGCCTGGGCTGGTCATCACTCAGCAGGTCACAGGAAACCACCAAACCCAGGGCGCCTTGCCCATGGGAGACCCAGAGGAGCTTAGAGGAGAGCTGTGACCACCTGAGGTGCACAGCAAGGCCGTGTGGAGTAGACCTCACCTGCCCGCCCCCGCCCCCACCTAGACTCACATGCTATGCAGGACACACCAACCGCAGTGGGGGTCCCGAGAGCCGAGGCAGAGCTCACATGATGTGTACTGCACACAGCTCTCTACAGGCACTCGCATCACCTGGCAGGAGGGGGACTCAGTGTCAAGCCTCTGCAAGGCCCATCCCAGGGACCCTTCCAGCCTCACCTCCTTGGCACCACTGTGTGCCCCCAGCCCCACACACTAGGGATCCCGCCATCTCGGCACTTCCTGCTTGGTCTATTCAAAAGCCAGTCCTGGGTGACGCTGCCTTGGCCGAGTCAGGCCTCTCCTCTGGGAGTCCAGGGTGGCGGCGGCCAGGGAGCAAGCAAGCTTGTACATGTTAGCCACTCAGAGATGAACCAACTGGTCCTGCCAGAGTTATCCTCCGTCTCCCAAACTTCCTGAGAGAGCCATGGCTCATCGGCCCCAAGCCTAAGCAGAGAGGCAGGCTAGGCCCCGCTTACCTCGACCCCGTCTGCTTGGCCCTGAGGTCCCCAGAGAGGTGGGAGAACCCAACGGCCAGGAGGGGCAGAGGAGAAGCAAGAGCTAGCTAAGAGGGAAGGCAGGTCTTTCCCACCTGTCCCCCAACTCAACCCTGCTCCCAACTGCCGTGAGGTCGCCAGGTTGAGCAGAAGGGCAGAAGCTGGCTGCAAGCAGGCCAGGCCAGGAACATAAGCACATGGCCTTGAAGAGCTGTGCCAGGCCAGTCACAGGCCTCACAGAGGTTCCCACCACATAGATGAGGCCAGTGCTGGGCCAGGTCACAGTCCGAGAGCTCAGCCCCAAATGCATGCCCTAAACCCTGTAATGACACGAATATCCTGACAATGCTCTCATTCAAGTATTTTCTCCCGTGGACATTAAGTCATTCAGGGAGGGGGTGGGAATTCTAAACATGGCCCAAGAGAACCTAGAGGCAGCATGGACAGTGTGGGCCCATGGCGGCCACACCCAGCTCCCCAGGGATGGCCCACCCACGTACATCCAGCAATGTAGCACCTACCTGCTTTTCCGTCATGGTGTAGAGGTACTGGCGATCAGGGCTGAGGACCAGGTCACGCAGGATGGGGCTGCCCTCTTGGGCTACCACACTTTCGTAGGCCAGCGCTGGCCGGCCACCAGGGTTGGCCAAGTCCACCAGGATCTATGGCAGTGAGGGCTTGAGTGAAGCTGAGCCAATGCCCTTGTGCCCTAGCCCTATGCTCACTTAAGGTGAGGGTCTGGAGCAACTCCCCCAGCGACCGCCCCCAAAGCCCTACAAAAACAAGGCCACGGTCCCCACCCCACCCCACCCCAAGCAGCCTACATAGGACAAACAGCATACCGGTGGGCTGGTCCTGGCCTATCCCCTTCATCAGTGAACAGATGCCACAGCCCAGAAGTGGGGGTCGCTGGGGGTTGGAGACAACCACAACCCCACACCCCTCACCCACCACTGAGCGGAACAGCCATACCCAATGCAAAGGTGGCAGGTATCCCTGCAAGTGCACCACCTTCCCTGGGCCAGGCTGGGCCTCCCAGAGGGGGGATATTTGTGGGGAAAGGAAAGAGGCAGCAGGGGCCTGAAGGGAGCATGGAAGTTCCAGAGCACCTGAGAAGTGAGACCCCAGGAGCCACCAGGGTGGGGAGGTGGTGGCATAAGTGTCAGGGGAGGAGCCCCCGGTCATCCTGGAGTCGGGGTACACCCCCAGAGAAGGGCAGGCATCTCATTAGCTTGGAAATATATTCCAGATACCAAACTGGGCGTTAATTAGCCAGCTCTTCTCCGAAGCTTGCGATGGTACAAGTATTTTTAGTTACTTTTACCAAACAAATGTATTTAATTAACAGAGACCCAGGGGGCTTTCCAGAGATGGGACTCTGGGGCAGCTCAGCCAGTCTGGGCAGACTCCCAGGGCACAGGGCAGCAGGTCCTACTCAGGCCCCTCGCTGCTCTGGCTATAGCCCGCTGGCCAGCCCACCTCTCCACCTCCACGTCAGGGTCGTGGGGTCTGGGCCAGGGCTCAGCCGAGTACCCCTGCTTTGCACCCCCACACAGAATGGTCAGAGCGGGCCTGACTGACTGGGGTGGGCTGCAGGGAAGGTAAAAGCCCCTGGCTCCTGACTCGGACCAGCTCCAACAGGGGCTGGACAAGGGTCGCCAGCCAGGATGCGGTGCTGTGTCTCTGGGCCCGAGGCTGCTGGCAATGGGAGAGAGGGAGGGCCGCATTCCTGAGAGCTCGGGGCCACCCCCACATCCGCTCAGCTGCCTCCCTGCCAGGCAATCAGGCTTAAGTCAAACCAGATCCGGAAGAGCAGTGCCTCGCACTGGACAGGGGGTAGCAGCCCTAGGCTGGGCCTGTAGCTGCCCAAATAGCTCCGGCCTGGCCTCTGAGAGGAGGGTACCAGGTGAGGGACCCCCAGCCTCAGAGCCCCTGCGGATGGGAACTGGACAGAACCCCATCCTGCACCTAGCTGATTCCCACAAATGTCCTGCCTTGTTTGAGTGGGCAGCCTGCAGGAAGGTGCTGCTCACAGGAAGTCTGAGGTCAGCTCCTTGAGCCAGCTGGGCCCAGGAGGGACATCAGCCACGGGGGAGAGCCCAGGAAGCCCGACGTCTCTGGAGCCACACTGCCCAGACACAGCCCTGGTGCAGACACCCCCCAGCTGTGTCTCCCTGGTAGGGTGCTCGGAACCTAGCTCTGCCTCGGTTTCCCTACCTGTCAAATGGGAATGACAGCCTTCCCCACACCAAAGCTTTTCTGAGAATTAAATGAGGACAAAGCCAGCGTACCAAACAGGAACACGAGGGAGCCAGGCCCACAGCAACCACCGACCCCCAGCAGCCAGTCACAGGTCTGGCAAAGCCGGCCTGGACAGCAGCCAGAGAATAGGAGACCGAAGAACAGGGCAGGGTCCCAGTGGAGACCCAGAGCTCCAGACCCAGTCTCAAACCAAATGACTGGAAACAGGACTCTGGATTTCTCCCCAAGATCTGACCCTCCCCTGCCCCCATCCCTGAAACATGCCTCCAGTAGCACTCAGAAAGAAGCCCAGGCCTGCCCCACCCCACACAGTGCCAGGCCTATGGCCCTTCCTCTAACACCCTAGCCTGGTCTCTCTCACCATAGAACGCCTGCCTCTAGGGCCTTGACAGAGGGCACTCTCGAGGTATCTGCTGAACAGGAACACTTGAGGGGCCGCAGCCTCTCCTACCCTGACCACCAGGGGCCACATGGTGCCAGTCCTGACCCCCACCAGGCCTGCATGCCCCTCCCCTCTCAGAGGTGAGAGCATGGGCTGAGGCATGGATGTCACATGAAGGGGCGACCCCCACCCAACAGGGGACAAGGGAAATTTTGTAGGCAAGGTCACATCCAGGGGGCACATCAGCTCTGAGGCATGGCAGGGGGCAAACAGGGAGTGGGCCTCCTCCATGGGGTCCTGGGGCAGGTGGGAGAAGGGAGGCAGGCCATGCCTGGGTTCCGGAATGCCCCCTCCCCTGGGTCAGCAGCGTGCCGACAGGTGGCACCCAACAGCTGCGACAGGGAACATACACATCCAGCTGTCCATCTACCATGCACCCATCTGTCCAACACTGGACAGCCCCCAGCTCTTAAACACACACAGGGAAATGGGGCATTTCTGAAGGGCACAAAGCAAGGGAGGCATTGGGAGGCAGAGCCCACAGGCCAGAGGGTAGATGTGACATGGGTGACAGGCCCACACCGTGCACTGAGTAGCCATGGTCCAGGCTCAGCAGGGCCCCTGCATGTACACATGTGACAGTCGGGGGGGTCTGGGAATAACCAGTCCTGGGGACATGCCTGCTACATCCTGGCTAGTGTTCAGGCTACACGGCTTGTGCAGCACAGACATGTAGACTGAGGCTCACAAGGGCCCTGAACCAGGCCAGCTGCACTTGGGGACACAGAGTCTGCCCCAAAAGTGGGAGGAGGGATTCAGCATGCCACCAGGAGGGCATTCCAGGGAGAATGGGCGTATAAGGCTGGCACAGGGCTAGGTGACTGGCAGGACATCAGGACACATGCCGCTGGCAGCGCGTGTGCCAATGCCACACCCACAGCTGTCCACTCTAGGGCCACCCAATTGGAGGCGACCCACCCTGGGGCTGTTGGGCCTGCTGAGCACACAGGAGACTTCTGGATTCCCCTGGTATCCCCCCCCCCACCTCCAGCTGTCGTCTCTGTGCTTGGTAAACCTTTCTCCCAAAACCACCAGAATCTTCAACGACTGGCTGCGACTGCCCTCCCTACCATCTCCCACCACAAAAAACCTCAGGGCCCAAACCCAGCCCTGCCCACAGAGGTCCTTCTGCCATGGTACCCTTCCCCATCCCTGCTGAGAAGGGAGCCCTACCTCCACAGAGATGGCTTTAGTGGAGCTCTCTAGCCTCCTTGGGCAAGCCTCCTAGGCCGCTCCGGGCCTGGGTACCTACCCACCCAGAGGGCTCAGAGGGGCATGGACACCACCACCCAGCCTCTGCCTGGGCTCTCTAGCCCTATCCACTTCTCCCCCACTCCTCCTTATCCCTCTGTACTGGGAGCCCTTTGGATTCTGAGTCAAGGCACAAGGGCTGTCAGCACCCCCAGGGAGGGACCAAGCCCTGGAGCCAAGGCCAGGTAAGGTGCTAATCATGGGCCAGGCACCTAACACCACCACCATGGGGCATCACCTGCCCTCCCCAGATGGGCCAGGGAGCAGGTTCACCCCTTCACCCCTTCACCCCCAGGTCCCTGCAGAGGGAGCCCTGCCCAGGGCCAAGGGGAAATGGCTAGCAGCAGGTAGGTGGTCCTTGGCTCTGGAGGCCCCAGCCCCAGGATGGCCCAGACAGCTGCCCCCGCACCCATCACTGGATGGCCCTGGCCAACTGCTGCAGGCAGGCAGCTGACAGCCCAGCCAGGTCAGCTGTCCATCCAGCCCAGAGCTAACAAAGGGCCCATTCTCCAGGCTGAGGGCAGGCGGGGGCACCAGGGAGGATGTCTGGCCTGTCCAAGTTGCTTGCCAAGGCCGGCACGCGCCCTAGCCGCCTGGAGGCAGGGGGCTGCCCAACTTGGCCAGGAATAGGAGAGGAAAAAGTTCCCTGCTGTGCCCACCCCAAGATGGCGACCCTCATGTCCCTATCTGTGAAGTGGGGTTGCGTTCATTGAGCCGATTCCTGGTCTCCAGATGGGGGTGGGCATGGGGGTGGGAGGAGTAGGACAGGCCCATGGCAGGACAGGCGGAGGATCGGGGAGCAACCAGCAAGCCGGCCACTCATAGGGCCGGGGCCTCACAGGCATCCCCCTCCTCCTGTAGATGCAGCTGTCAAGCCTGTTCCCGGACCCCTCCTTACCACCTCACGGGCTGCCACAGGATTCCCCCCTCATCTGTCTGGGGTCAGGTTCCAGGCCCCTTCCTGGAATGGTTCTCAGAAAGGCCAGGAAGAATTTGATACTGGAAAAGCAATTAGCAATTTCCTCTTGGCAGTAACTGGATAATTAAAACATGATTTGCAGGAGGCTGGATGGCTGTAATTGGGCCAGACACACCTGGCAAGGTGTGGGGGGAGGTTTCCAGCAATCTTGTCTTTCCCACCCCAACCCTCAATACACAGAGGACAATAGGGGCCAACCAACACAAGCAGTGGTCCTCCCTGACACTCGGTCTCATCTTGCGACAGATAACCACCTCACAGGATTGAGTGAGAATTCAGAGAAGCTCAAGGTTCCAAATGATGGGGAGGCCAGCTTGCTGGAAGCTCCCTGGAGACTGGGCCCCTAAGGCTCAACCCTGCAGAAGGGCAGAGGTGCACAGCTTCCCTGAAGCATCTGACCACTGCTGCAGAGGCCGTACAAAGCTAGGCCACAAGGCGGTGTACACTGCATGGCTTTCCACTGGCTGTCCTCAGCTGGGATGTGACCAAGGTGCCCACTGCAGCCTGAGATTTAACTAGCACCCGGTGCAACCACTAATGCTGTGGTAATCAGCAGTGACCATCCGGCCTGATGTTCTTATCTCAAACCCAAAAGCTGTCCACTGCCTACCCTGTCATCCATGATTCCAGCGCCCCACAAGGCTGGGCCCTCACAGACTGACATCACCCACACTACCCCCACCCACTGGGTCCCCAGAATGAGCAGGTAGATGCAAGTCCCTTCCATT